CCTTGGGTTGGTCATACTTTTCTTCCTGTTGCTTTACCCAGTCAGCCCTGTCCAGTGCAGGGAAGACCTCCATGCCCCTTTACTTCCCATCTCATCCTCCTTTTGCAGTTACAAGGCTGCCAGCTGTTGGTGTCAGGTCATAGCTGGAGCAGATCTGCTTTCTCAGAAACTAAAGAATCAGCTTCCTTCTGACCTCTTTAGGACAAAGGGGCCAAGGGCTGCCTGGTGGAGGATGTGGGGAAAACAGGAAATTGTAGATTTTCAGGGGCAGAGTTAGCTCTTCAGGGGAGGCTTCCAGGGCCCTCTGTACCACACCATTGTGGCCCTTCCACCAATCCCTTCACCCATTCTTTCTTCCCCATGGCCCATGTAGAACACCAGAAGGCCTGAGAAACTGTTCAGTTGGTGTTTGGGTACACTTTTTATCCTAGAGGCTGAGATTCCTGAGTCTTCTCAACTCTAATGTCAGTCCCCATCTTCCTCCACAACTTACTTTTGCTGTTTTTATAGTGTTCATAGCTTTTCTCTGTTCTTGTGAGATGGTCAGTCTGGAGAAGTCTCAGGCTGAGAATAATAATCCAGTTGTGGCAAAATGTGCACAGGCAGCCAGGTATTGGGTGGAGCGAAGTGGGTAGTAATGAATTTGAATCACAGTCAAGCATTGCAGTGGAAAGGGCACTAGTCTGGGGAGTCAGGATATTTGAGTTCTAGTCATGGCTTTACTACTTATTGGGAAAATTCCCCAGAAGAAACTCCTCTGACTGGTTGGCCAAAGGGCAGCCATCTCCTGTCCTTGGATCTGGGAGTGGGCTTGAAGCTATTGCTTTTAGGCAGTTAGATGAAGGGACCAGTGACTGCTGGCAGAGTTCTGGGATGAAGGGCCTTCCATCCACAGCATAGGACCAGGTCACATTCTCTTACTTGCCTTCTACTTGTCTTTCCCTTCTGGGAAAGTGAAGGGCCGGCTCTCCATGGAATCAGATCAAGGTATCTCAGCATGGTTTCTCAGGGAAATGTTAACCCTTTCCTTTCCTGCCCCTCATCACTGCTTTCTTTTTAGCTTCTGTCTTGACAACTTTTCTGGGATGTGATAACCCTTTCTGGTTAGCTATAGTCCGAAGTGGATAATGATCTCAGAGTCAGGATATTAAAGTTTAAGACCTACTTCTACCATGTAACAGGTGTGGGACCTTGGGGAAGTTACTTCTCACTGAGCTTTTTAGTTTCTTCATCTATAAAATGGGGTTAATAATATGGCTATGGTGAGGAAGGCTTTTTGCAAATGTTAAAAGTGTAGAAATGAGAACTATTGCCTCCTTTCCAAACCTTGTGGAAAATTCCTTCAAGAAACAGTTGCTTATTAAATGTGCATGTTGTTATTACTCCGTTCTTTCATAGCTCTTCAGCCCCTAACAGGCTGTGATTTGGGATATACTTTAGGCCGTTCTTTATAGTAGAAGCCCTGGAGGTGACAGGCCACAATGTTACTGGTTTTTGTTTTTTTTTTAATGTGAGGCAATTGAAGTTAAGTGACTTGCCCAAGGTCACACAGCTAGTAAGTGTCAAATGTTTGGTCTGAGGCCGGATTTGGACTCAGGTCCTCCTGACTGCAGGGCTGGTGCTCTATCCATTGCGCCATCTGGCCGCCCCAGGCCACAATGTTATGAGGCATCAGAGAGGGTGGGGTTTGGGAAGTGTGTGAATCCTCTCATTGCCCTTTCTACTCCCCTAGATCCTGTTCATCTCAGATTATTTCTACGCCTTCCTGCGGCGGGAGTACTACCTCACTCATGGCCTCCACCTGAAGCGCCAGGATGGGACTGAGGCCATGCTGGTGCTCAAGTAGTGAGGGGGGCCAGCTGGCCCTGCTGGAGATGGACTCCTCTGATACCAAGTTGGGAGAACTGGGGGTGGGCTGAGCTGCCGCGCCCCCTCCCCTCTCCCTTCATCTTGGCCCTAGTTTGGGGAGGGTTTGGTTTAGAGGTCAGGGGGAGCTCATGATGCCTTCACAGACCTGGATCCTTGGAACTCCAAACAAGAGAACAGCTATCAACAAAGGCCCCTTTGGAAACTGAAGCCTTCAGCATGGAGGATGAATAGTCCCCGATTGGGAAATGGCTGGGTTTGCCATGGGCTCCCCTCCTTGGGGAGCAGTGGAGGGCCTTGGGTGAGTTCTCTCTCTTCTCCCTGGAAATCCTGGTTTCAGCAGGTCCTTCCCCCATTATTCCCCCAAATCCTATACCCTGTTTTGTCTCCCTTGCTTTCCATAGATTATTCCTCGTCCACCTCAGCAAGGTACAAGTTACCCGTGGTCTTTATTCTCCCAGGCCAAAGTATTCCTTCCTCTGCCCTTTATTCTCCCAGGTCAAAATCTGTTCCTTTATACTTTTCCCTTGCCGTTGAGCCTGGACAGCCCCTTTCCCTATGAACCTAAAAGTCAGGCAGAGCCTTGGTGTGTTGTTGATGCTGAATAAATGTCTTTTTCGTAGTGAATACTGGTTGTCTGTGGAAATGAGAAAGGGGTGGGGGAAAGCCAAGCTGGGGAGCAGACTGAAGTGAGGGGGTTCACAAGTGCGATACAGACCTGAGCTATGATGCTCCCACTCCAGTGGGTTTATCTGCCCTTGGACCTGGAATGGAGGCTCTTCTGTTACATCATTAATTGTAGGCCCACACCCCTAACGTGGTCCTACGTGCCTAATGTAGTCCTGGGCTGTTGTGCTAGAGGCCCAGGACCTCAGGGCTAAGTGTGGGGGAAAGATACCAGAGGCTCAGAGCTTGTTGGAGCAGTGGCTAAAGAAGGCTCCTTGTGGCATTTTGCCTTTCTCCCCAGCCATCCCTCTTTTCCTTTTCAGATAGAGGTTAAAAATCAGCCCCTTATGTGCGTGTAAGACTTAAAATTTTACCACACAGAACTCTATGTGCATAGGCATGTCTTTCTTGAATAGGCCCTGCCCCCCAAGTCCAGGGAGGACGCTCATGCTCCACACACTAGCAGGTCTTGTTATGGAAGGTGCTTTGGGACCCACGGGCCCATCAGAGCTGAGATGGACTACTGGAGAAGCGCCTGTTTGAGGGCAATAACCATGAGTGGTGGCTCAGTGATCATGAGATAGAGTTTCTCATGGGGCACTGAGAAAAGTCGTAACTGTCTTGGAGTAACAAGGATGTGTTCTGAAGGACACATATTTGGACATGGAAATGTCCTTCATTTGTCTGGAAAAACAAAACAAAACAAGTTTCCTGCCTGTAGAAGAGACATGTGAATACCAGCCTGAGGGATGCTGGAGATAGAGCGGCCAGGCGAAAGTTACATTTCAGACCAGAGAGACGGCTGGGTCAGGGGAAAGGGCCCAGCATCTTATCTGCATTTAGTGTCCAAGAAGTTCGACCAGGCTGTGTTGCTGTGAAGGCAGAGAGGGAACACTGGCCCAGAGCTGGGGAGGACTTGAATTTCTCTTTATTTATACAGAGTAACGGTAGCTCAAACAGGCTGGTGCTCCAGGACACTGGGGTACATAACTCGGAAGAACAGCAGGCAGGGTTGTGGTCACAAGGGGAAAGCTCAGTCCTTGGAGTGGCTGCCAGCATGGGACGGGTCCAAACTGCATGCAATAAAGATGGGAGGGGCAGGTGCCTAAAAAAAAAAAAAAAAGACCAGAGCCAAGGCAGGGCCAAGGCCCACAGGTGCCCACCCCCTTTCCCCTACCCTACCCCCTCCACTTTCAAAACTGAGAGGGGGCAGCCATACATAGCTATATATCTATATTCTCATCCCCCCACCTACAGACACACAGACAGACAGAGCAGCCCCCGAGGCTCTAGCATCTGGGGGTAGCACCGAGAGTTGATATGTGTACAGAGTTGGGGTAGATGAAAATTCCTCATTGACACAGGATGCCTTCTGTTCTGCTCCAGCCCTGGGTGGGCAAAGTCCTTAGTTTGGCATTGATCTAAGCCAACCACTCCTGCTTTGGGTCCTGGGGAACGGGCCCAGAGAGGGGGTAGAGGCAGCTTTATAGTTCTGGAGTAGGGGGCTAGGCTGCCCCTCCCCAGCTGCTATCTTCCCAGGGCCAGGATACTCCCTGCCCCTTTCTGCTCAGTAGCCAAAGGTCTCCTGGGAGGCATAAACCATGTAGAGGAAGCCATCTTCATCCTTCTCCTGCTCGTAGATTTCTGAGATGGGTGTGGAGACGCTCACCATGCTGTGCTGGTTCACCAGCAGGAAGAAGGCCTGAGTGGGGTTAAGTTGAAGTCTGCGGCTGCATAGGGGAGAGGGGCACAAGGGGAGTCCATTGGAAGGGCAACAAGACCCCTAACTCCCAGCTCTGGGCCCTGACACTGGAGCTGGAAGGAACCTCTGAGCTCTCTAGTCTAACCCCTTTCCCCACCTATGAATCTCCTTGACAGCATCTCTAAGAAGCGTCATCCACCCACCCTGCCCTGTTTGAGGTCCCAGAGACCTCCTGCCTCTCACTGGATGGTTTGGGGTTTTAGAGTTTCTGCTGATCCATTCTCTGCCTCCTGCTTCCTTCCACATCCTGACTCCACCCTCTGAAGCCCAGGGCTAATCCCTCTTCCACATGGCAGCTCTTCAAATACTTGAAGACAGCTATCATGTCTTCTCTAACTTCTAAAGGCTAAAACATAAACAAACTCAGTTCCTTTAATCCTCATATAGCATGAATTCTAATTCATTTCCAGGCTAGACACTATTCGGTGGATCTGTTGGAGTTTGTCAGTGCCCCTCCTTAAACATGTTCCCACAATCGAATGCTGTATTCTAGATGTCAGCTGACCAGGCCAGAGAACAACCGAATTTCCTCCCCCCTCCCCCGCTTCATCCTGGACACTACCTCTATTAATGGCACTAGTTTTCATGGCTGGACTGCCCTACCTCAGCCCAAGCCTGAGGTCAGACTCAGTCAGCACTGCCCAGGTCAATGGAAGGTGGGTGAATGGAAGGGGTGGGCCTCACTCACCGGATGATCTTCACTAATTCACTCATGTTGACGTGGTCAGGGACGAGGAACTTGGTCTTGTCCAGGACAGGCAGCTGTTTTTCCCCTTTGTATCGCTCAATGATCACCTACGCGAAGAAGGTTGGGTAAGAGGAAGCAGGTGCAGAGCAGCAGCCCCAGGCATGTGCAGGCGGCCCAGACCCCGGCACTCACCGGGATCTTGCTGGGGTGCTGCTCGCGGATCTGCTGCACTTCCTTGCATCTGTCGGCTGGAAAGATAGGCGGCAGTGAGGCTCTGGCCCGGGTGACTCGAAGCAAGCGGCCTGGGCCCGCAGAGACCCTCCCTCACTGTGGCTCCCTGGGCACTGGGAGCCACCATGTATAAACAAGGAGGCGCCAGCTTCCGGGTGACCCGGCCTCCCGCCCACACGTCCACCGCCGCCCCTCCGCCCCAGCCCCCGTCCCGGGGAACCCCTCCGGCCACGAGCACCCGCCCCCACCCCTCACACCAGACTGTCTTATGCACACACCCGCCCGGAGAGACTCAGGCTACCCAAGAGACCTTTTCCCACCCCCCCCAACCCCCTGCACCGACCCAGACGGGCTAGGCAGGGGTCCAGGGCTCCCCTTGCGTGCGTGGGAAATGCAGCTTCCGACGGCCGGGCTGGGCTACAGCAGGGGTACCCGGCGACCCTCAGACGCAGCACAGGCTCTCCCCTGGCCCTGAGCCAGCCCCCCGCCCTGGCCACTCGCAGTAAACACGCCCGGGCTGCGGGGGAGGGGCCTCGTCTGTCTCCTCCCCTTACGCCCCTTAAAGGGCAAACCCGGGTGGGGGAAGGAGATCGAGTCCGGGAGGCCGCTCTCCCCCTACCCCCCCGCCCAGCCCCGGAGCTCTCGCAATGGAGGTGGGGGCGACCCCGGAGTTGCCCTCCTGTACCCAGACCCTGTAGGTATCTGCGTGACGCCACGCGTGCTCATGACATTAGCGGCCGCCGGCTTCCCACCCCAGCAGGTACCCGGACGCCCCGCAGGATCTGATCGGACCCTTCCAGCCCCCCACCCCTACCCCGCCCCGGCCCGGCCCGGCCTCACCGAAGCTTCGCCGCTGCTTGAAGGGCCGGTCGGAGGGCATCGCGCCGGGGTCCTGGGTCGGGCAGGGGTGGGGTGGAGTGGGAAGTTCAGGGTCAGGGATCCGGGTGTCGCCGCTGCTGCTCCGGGTTCTCTGTCGCGCGCGCTCGGGCTCGTTCTGGTTCTCAAACCCGAGCAGCTGCTGCCCGAAGGAGATGGTAACTCGGTTCGGTGACGTCACTTCACAACATTCCTTAAAGGGGAGTCTGGCCCTGCCCTGCTATTGGGCCGACGAAAAAGCCACCCCATCCGCCCACTGACCCCGTGACGCAAAGGCAGCTCCGGCCAGGAATGGACAACTGAGGAGGCGGGGCTCCCAAGGAGACATCGCCTTCCTGGTCGCTGCCATGACAACAGATAGCCGCACAGGTCGGCTCCAGGCCGCGACGTCACTTGCCCCGCCCCCTCGAGTCCTAACTCAGGGCCTACATTCCCAGGCCGGGACTCGCGCGCCGCGCTCGGGCCTTCAGCAGCGGGCTGGACCCACAGCAGTAAGGACAGGGCCCGCAGCCGGAGGTGCTGGCTGTTCTGCGGCAGGCGGCGGAATGGGCAAGCCGGACTCTGGAAGCTGAGCCCCCGCGACCCCCGGGTCCTTCGGCCTTGCGCTCCCCAGAAGACGCAGCCTTGGTTTCGAGAGAAAAGGATCATAGGTGCGGGGAACTCGGCCAGGATGTCCGGGCGTCCCCAGTGACAGGCAGGACTTAGAGCCCGGGCCCCGGCGGAAGAAGCAGAGGCCGGTCCTGCCCCAGGGCACACGGTGACTTAGCAGTGGCAAAGCAGGACCTAGAAACCACGCCTTCCGGCTGTTTTCAATATCCTCACGCCCAACTCACGTTGGGTAAGGCACAGGACTTTCCTGGGCCTCAGTTTCCCCACCTGTGAAATAGGGGAGTTGGCCTAGGTGATCCACCAGGTCTCTTGCAGCTTATGTTGGCACATCTTTCGGACTGGTTTCACCGGCGGGAGGTTCACGTTCCCTGCTCCTCCACGTTCATTGCTCCTGTTCGCAGATCGATCTCTCACCTTAACTTCGGACAGCCCTCCCCCCTCTTCCTTTTCTTTAAATTCAATTAAATGGCATTTTTTTAATACTTAACAAAAGCAAAAACATGGCTTTAACCCTTGGCAGTGTTTGTGACAGGGAGAGGGGAGTGAATGAAAATGATTTTCAAATGCTGATGTTTGATAGGAAAATGTTTTAAATAAAAAATTCACAACTGAGGCTCGTTTAAATGCCATATGGTTTCACAGGAAAGGCTACCAAGCAGCTTCTGTGTCCCCGAAGAGCTGAGAGAGTGAGGAGGGAAGTGTGAAGAAGGGAGGGAAAGCTGAGAAGCTGAATAGAAGGGACTGATGATTAACTCTTCCCATCACCCCACACAGTGGCTACTCCTTTAACTCTAGGTAGTTAAGGAGGTTTATTTTTTTTTTCTTTTTTAGGCAATTGGGGTTAAGTGACTTGCCCAGGGTCACACAGCTAGTAAGTAACTGTCAAGTATTTGGTCTGAGGCTGGATTTGAATTCAAGTCCTTCTGACTTCAGGGCCGGTGTTCTATCCACTGTGCCGCCTAGCTGCCCCCAGTTCAGGAGGTTTGTAAAGAAAAACGTTCTTGGTTGTCCTCTCAAAACGCTGAAAGGAGATATGGCTATGAGACAAACAATATACACAGCAGAATGGTGCTGGAAGCCTGGGTCCCAGTCCTGGTCGTGCTAAAGGGTTTGATTTCCTCTGTAAAAGCAGCTTTTCAGACTCCAGGATTCTACAGAGTTGCTTCTTTTTTTGGCTTACGGTAGGGATGTCAGTCCTGGCTTCTGTTCAGTGCTTCATAGTGCTCTGCACATAATCTGGGCCTAACAAAATGAATTCTGCTCCTATTGACTGGGGAGAACTATTGAAGTGTTTTGCAAAGAACACACAAGGATTAAGTAAATAACCAACTCTGAAAGAAGCAATTTGAACTGAGGCTCTCTCACTGACACACAAAAAGGCCTGCTGGGTCTCTTAACTTGAGAGCCTGGGATGAGAAAGTTTCTCCAGCAAGCCTATATTGTGACATGGACAGCAATCTCAGGGAGCTTGGCTTATGTTCTCACCTAACACAGGGCCTCATTTCCTCTGTGGAGCTCAAAAGTGGCTGTGGATACTTTTTAGTGGAGAAAAATGGAAGGGAGTACCCAGTGTCTAGGGAATCTCTCCTATATTCAGGCTACAGCTGAGCTACAAGATGTCCCATTAGGGGAGGTAAATGATTGAGGCAGCTGGAGATGGCAGAAGTAGATTCAAAGGGCCATCACAAAGCCCTACCCTACCCCCAGTGCCAGGATCCATATCCTTTTATGAAGGCAGGAAATCACCCAGTGTATACCAGGCCTCAAGGCTGCCTGGGCCTCACTATCCTCCTCTACTGCCACACCCGAAGCACTGGGAATTGGTGTTGGCTCTCACATGCCAGGTGCTAGTCAAAGGTAGTGTTTGTACCCTCATGCCACACAAACACCTTATTTCATGTGACCTTTCTGAGAAAGGGAAAATATGCTGTTCCACAAAAAGTAATTTTTGTGTTAACAGGTGTTAACCCCAAAACCTCCTTTAATATTAAAGCCTTGTAGCTGAAAATATTCAGAAAATGTCTAAAATCACTTTCTCTACAAAATAGCTTCTTATGTGGTCCCCTTACCTGGTCTCTTCCCACCTAATCCTCAGAAGCTATCCATCCCTCCTTCCCCTTTTCAAAAGCCTTCAACAGCTCCTCGAGGCCCCCAGAACCAAGTACTTCATCCTCAGAATTTAGGGGCCTCTATACTCAGAGTCCAACCTACCTTTCTAGGATTACGTTAGCCCTCCTCCATCACCTGAAATTTTCTTCAAGGTTCAACTCAAACGCTACCTCAACCATGAGGCCTTCAGTGAGCCTCTCACCCCATTCTACTCCTCTCAGAGGTACTCCCCAATGAGTCTTCATTGTTTTGTGCCCCCAGAATGCTCTGCACCTGTGATTTTACAAAGTATAGGTTGCTCCTAGTAAGGAATAAATAGCATCTCTGTAACATCCAGTTTGTTTCCTGGGGCAGTTAAGTGATCTCTGCCCAGGGTCGGTACATATGAGGCAGGACCTGGATCCAGGTTTTCCTCACAGGTTACTCTGCATAATGTAATACCAGCTCCCACACAGTAAGTGCTTAGTGAATAACCGTTTAATTGGTCAATAGCATCTCAAAGGGCCCAAAGGAATCTTTCTTTATAGGGAATCCCCCAGGGCCTCACATCAGTTAATTTTCCTCTTGACCTCTTAACATGGAAAGTGCAGCAGAAATGCTCATACAAAGTCTCTTCTAAGTTGGAGTAAAGCCGATCATGCTTCTTCCACAGGCTTCCCTCCTGGTCCTTGGGCCATCCCTTCAGACTCCCCTCATCTTTCTGGGCTGGTTCTCAAGCCCTTTGCAGGTTCCTCCTCTGCTCTACTACTAACGGGCCTATGGAACCTAGTTAGCCTCTGTGCCAGAACAAGAGCAATCCCCAATGGGGCCCAAAGTCCCCCCAGACCCACTGAATGTGGCTGCAAGACAGAGATGGATGGTTTCCCATTCACACCAGGACTTGTCCATTGGATGTGTGTCCCCTTCAAATCCCTTGGAGAGGCCACACATTCAGCAGCCCCCTCCCTAGCTGCCACTGGATTCACAGGCTGACTCCTCTACCAGGTCATGGGATCATAGATTTAGATGTGAAGAACCCCTGAAGGTTACTCAATCCAACCTTCTCATTTTACAGAAGAAATTGAGGTCAAAAGAAGGGAAGTGACTTGCCCAAGAAGACAACGAACTCAGGTTATCTGACCCCAATGTTCTTTCCACTATATCTCTTGCTGCTTGTGTTGTCCTCACAGATCCAGGTTCCAGACCCTCCCCCGCCCCGGAAAAATAGCTCATGAGGAGACCTTCCCAACAGGGCATGTAAAGATACAACAAAAGAATAATCATTACAGTTATTTTTAGTTAGACAGCATTTCAAAATAGCAACAAAATTAAAACCAGAAGCCCAGAGCCCAGATTTGGGAGGGGGGTTGGGGGGGGCAACTGGCCAGAAGGGAGCTCAGGCCTTAGGGGGTGGGCACCAGCCCAGGCCATTAAGCTTGTCTCCAAGGACTTTCTTCCTGATGGCTGAAGGCTCCAACTGTAGCCTCCGAAGATTCAAGGTTAAGAAAAAGGATAAGAAAATCAATCTGCCCCACTCCTCCCCCACCCCACCTGGGTCACATGATCTCTGTAAATCCAGTCTGACATGATAATTTTGTTTTCCACATGCCAGTCAGCGGTGAGAGGGAATTGACAGTAATGCTTTCTTTCAGGGAGACTATTAAATTAAAGGAAAAAAATATGGCAACTCGAATATGGCAAATTATTCTGTTGGATTTTGGATCACAATCAGGAAATAATCTTTATCTGCAAAAAGAAGAAAAGATGTATGTCACAACAGACTGATAACAGACTGATTCCAGACTCCAAGTCCAGGCTCTGCCACAAATTTGTGTGGCCTTGGACAAGTACTTTGCTTTTCCTAAGCCTCAGAGTCACAGGAGTGATGGGATTGGCAAATTAGAATGAGAAGGGACCTCAGGGCTTATCCAGGCCAACCCCCACCTGAAAAATAATTTCCTCTACAGCAGATCCAACAAGTCATTAGCCTTTGCTCAGGAAGGGGGGGATCCACTGCCTTCCAAGGTAACCCGTTCCCCAGTTCCTCTTCACTGGGGGATGGGCGATTCAGGGCTCTTGCTGCTTTATTCCTGAATGTGACCTCTCCCTTCATTCCGACGAACACTGCCATAGCCCTCTTGGATACCAAATCATCCTATGGACTCATGTGTGTGGTCCACTAAAAGCCATAGATCTTTTTCAAATGAAATGCTAACCAAGCCTCCCTCCATCTTGTATTTGTGAGGTTAACTTTTAAAATCCAAGTGTCAGACCTCACATTCATCCCCATTAAGAATCTTCTTAATTCAATTCAGCTCAACATTTTAGCCCATCAATACCTTTTAAAATCCTGTTTCTATCAATCCAATATATTAGCTAACTGTTCTCTACCCTTGATTTGAGTCATCTGCAAATTTGATAAGGATGCTATTTTTGTCCTTATCTAAGTTACTGATTAAAGAATAGGGAGATTCAAATTCTGGTTTGAAGCATCTTTGTTTCAGGCACTAGTACCTATGATGAGGATAGATCCAGACCCCAGAAAGGAAAAACCCTGGACTTTCTCACTTGGCCAAATCTCTGGCATTCCCCTGAGGTTATAATGCCATCAACTGGCCTTTCATTGTGGCTACACCCAATCTCCCCTCCCTTGTACTCTCCATTGTCCAGGTCCCAGGAGTTCTGTTCACCCCAGTTTACTGGCCACTCTCATCCAGATCTCCTTAGGCCCCTCCTCCCATCACCCCAAACTACTTGGCCATTCCTAGAACCCTCCCCACAGGCTTTCTGTATATAAGGTCCATCTTGTCTCCATTAAGATGCTCTGATTCTTAGAATCTAGCCACTGCGCAGATTTTCACAATCTAGTCAATAGCCCATAGATGTTCAGATTCCTTAAGAGTCTAGCTAATATGGCGAATCTTCAATAAACCGTGTTTTGGCTGAAAGAAAGCTTGGATCTAATTCTTTTGGGCAGGACCCACGTGTCGTGATTTTAGGATTCCAGGACCCCTAACCTCTACACCTCATGACCTATAGTATGCCTCTAAGGCAACCTTGGAAATGGACATTTGCCCAGACTGGAGGCAGGATTGTTTGTGTAGGGGTATGTGTGTGGCAGAAAATACAGACATCCTTTATACCAAAGTGGGGGAACAGGCTGGTCACAAGTTGTATGGACTCCTAAGTTCCTGGAAGGCAAAGGACAGGGTCTTATTCATCTCAGTCTGAATCTCCAGTGCTGGACCCAGGGACTCTCATATAGTAAATCTTTACTAAAAGTTTATTGAAATGAAGTCAGCATGTAATGGCATCTCAACCTTAAAAAACTTGGCCTCTTCAACCAAATTACAGCATACAGCAAGTTCAATCTGACCAAGGTCAGCCCTCCTACCCAAGAATCTGTCCTTTGTATCTGTTTGGTGCGCATCCTGTGCAGACTTCCTTGTGCTCCTGTTCTCTCCAGGGAAGTGACTCTGTCATTTCTGTACTAGTGGCCCAAGCACCTGGTACAGTGCAGAACACACAACTGACACTTAATAAATTCATGCTGACTGACTGAAATATAGCTCTTGTTCCTGTTTCTGTACTTGTGATAGAAATTATGATTTGGGGAGAGCCAGAGTTTGCCCCTTTTTTTAAGTCTTCATTTGACAACTCAGCCTTGGAAGGATAGGACTTTGAAGAATAGATAGGATTAATTCTCCTCAATCTGGTTATTGCTACCCCACCCAACTTTACAAGGAATTGAATCTAAAGTGAAATTGGCCCATTCATTGTGTTCCACTCAGGCTCAGGGTAGGGGATACAGATCCTTTGTCTAGATTCCTAGAGCCTGGGGGTGGTCTGGGAGTAAGAGTGACTTAATCAAAGTCACATCCCTCAGGCCCTCTTTAGAATAAATCTACCTCATTAACTGTTAACCAATCAGAGTTGACAGCTATCCTCAGGAACACCCACTCTTCCAAAGCCATATAAACTGTGAGCCCCCAGCTATGATTCATCTTTGGCCTAAGAGAGTAGGCCAAATGACCATTCCTTTTATTAATAATATGGTAGTACTATTAATAAAATGATTAATTACCTAGAAACTATGTCCCTCGAACTTCTGAAATGTCACACTTAGTAGGTACTCCAAAGTAAACTATTTATTAGAGTTTATGCATAATAAACAAAGTTGACAAAGTATGCTACACTGATCTGGCTTGCGACTCACTCACTAGCAGTGCAGACCAAAGGTATCAAATTCAAAGCTCCAACCAGACTAAAATGTCATGGGGAAATGTTTAACAAAATAAACAAAAATACAACACAGCATAGATTATGTTAATTTCTACGAGATAGACACCACTGGGGTAAACTAACAATGATAGTTTCCTTATTGTGACAGGAAAGAGACTCAACCTAGACTGTGCAGATGAGTGTCTGCAGCTACTAACCCTAAGGGGCCCCTTACATCAGGTAGGCTGGACTAGATGAATTTTAGGATCCTTTTCACCCCTAGAAGTCTAAAACACCAGGCACGGAAGAAAGAAATAGAAGGACCCACCTCCCTGCTAGTATCAACAGATGAACATCAGCTGTGGAGAAGAGAAGTACTTTGATTAAATAGTGGCTGTGCAGTCTAGGGCAGAGCAGTACTCCAGTGGGAGTCACGAGAGCTGAAATCCAGTCCTGACTGCCACAAATTCCCTGTGTTACCTTGGGTATGACATTGAACATTCTCCGAGCCTCAGTTTCTCCATCCATACAATGAGGGTTTATAACACCATCATCTCTGCAGGCCCTCTAATTCCTTCATCCTATGTCTTATGATGTCACCAAAGGAAGTTTCTTTCCAACATGCCCAATGAAATCCTGAGAACTGCTCTAAGATTCGCGCAATGAGACTCTTACCTGGAGCAACCATGATCTCATTTTTCTTGGAGCGAATGCGGAGGAATGTGAGATCGTTCTGGGGGTCAATGTCTCGCACAGTGCCCCGAGCCTTCAAGATGAAGCTGTGCATCAGGTTGGCGTACTGCATGGTGGTGGAGTTGTCCATGGTGCTTTTGATTGGAATGCCTGGGCCAAGGACAGGTGAAGTGAGAAAAATCAATGCAACCCCTTCTGCTTCTTCCTCATTCCCATGATTAGTGGAAATGCCTGTTTGTGCTTGTATCATACAATAAAATGAGAGATCAATCTTTATAATCTTGAGAGTTTTATGGTACAAACAGGGTCACCCATTTAAAAGTCAACTCATTTAGATTCCAATAAGGATTACCTTTTAAATGAGTGGAAGGGGTCTTTTTGTCCCAGTTTCAGAGGCAAAAAGCTCTCTGAAGTAAGTTACCTCAAAAAACTTGAAACCAACCACATGTTAAATGACTGGAGCCTGGCTCAACAAACTGTAGTAGTATATGAACAGCAGTGTCTGGTGGTACCATTAGAAAGATCAGAAGAGATATAAGAAGAATCCCATGAAAGAGCAGAACAACATGCACACTGACTATGAAGACTCCAGAAAACAGCAAAACCAACAAAAATGTGGAAAAAATACTAAGAGTCCAGAAGAAGACATAGAACCAATAGGTTATTTATGCTTTGATGCATCATCACATTTATTCTTGATTGTGGAACTGAATGATTATTTTTGTTGATGGGACCTGAGTTTAGAATAACAAAGAAAAGGGGCAGCTAGGTGGCACATTGTATAGAGCACCTGAGTCAGGAGGAGCTGAGTTCAAATTTGGCCTCAGACACTTGACACTTACTAGCTGTGTGACCCTGGGCAGGTCACTTAACCTCACTGACTAGCCAAAAAAAAAGAATAACAAAGAAAAGCCAGCTTCCTCCTCCCGATTATTGTACTTGCCATCCCACCCCACCCCCTGTGGGGAGCAAGCATCCAGCACTTAGCACAGCATCTAACATACCGTTAAGTGGTTAGTTCAGCTTAAAGTTGAATATGACAGATGCTTATTTTGAAAGGAACCAAGCTAATGACCCCATATGAGTAAGATTATACCCATTTATCAAGGGGAAGATGAGTAGAGCTGACTCTCTTTCCTCCCAGGGTCCCTTAGCTCTGAGAGGTAAACTTCTCCCTTATCTTGCTGGAGTCCTAAGACACTTTCCAGCATGCTCCATGCCAAGCCTTCTCTACTCAAGACATTCATCTCCACCTCCTCTCCACCAGAGGCCCTTGGCTCTCATAGGAGAACTGCCTTATCTTTCTGGGAGTGGGAGGAGGTCCAGGCTTCTACTCAACTCCCCAACCCTAACCTTCCTACTTCCAGCCAATATTGTCTCCCCACTTCAGAATGTAATCTTCTTGAGGGCAGAGACCATCTTGCTTGCTTAGCACAGTGCCTGGCAGGTAATAAGTGCTTAATAAATTCTTTCTCTCTTTCTCTGTCTTGGAGCTAGTTTGGCAGTGATGTGGAAAGAGCATTAGAAAACATGTGACTGAATTGCAGCCCAAACAACTATTTATGTGACCTTGGGAAAAGTATAATCTCTTCAGGCTTCAGTTTTCTCATCTGTAAAATGGGCATAGTTCCTACCCTACCTCCATAGTAGGGTTTTTCTGATGATCAAATGAAATAACACTTGAAATGACTTTGAAAACTGTCAGAAGCTGTATAAATCTATTATCGTTTTTATTTTCACCACAAGGCAGAGAAAACATTAAGTCTGGTTCATCTGTCTTTTTGGAGGGTTTAAGGAAATGATCCGATATATTTATCAATTCTGTCCCAGGAACTGTCAGAGCTAAGCCACTAAAAGTGCCCATGCTTTTGGCAGTACTTTCAAAATGATAGTTCTAGGAATGCTTCATGGCTCTATGCAAAGCAGTTCAGACAAAAACCTGAAAAACAAGTAGTTTCTTAACTAAGAGGATGATCGGAAGCAGTTGACATTTCTTGACACGAGATAGGGTAGATTCAGAAGCAAACCACTTGGTTGGTATGTTCTCATCCCCAGCATGATGTGCTTGGAGGTTTCTTAACTTTTATGATGCTTCTAAAAGGGCTTATTTCATATACTCCTCCCCAATCCTCCCTTTCCCTCTTCCTTCCAGACCATAGTAAGGTTTCATCCACTAATGCTGCATCACACTATTTCTTCACGATCACAAGCTGCAGGATGTGTTGTAAAGAGCCTTTCACTAAGTCAGGAGATGTGAGTCTCATTGTGTGACCACAGGCAAGTCATTCATCTTTTTCTAGGCCTCGGTTTCATCTTCTGTACAATGAGGGATTAGATTAAATAATATTTAAGCAAGAGTCCTTACTACTCAAACATTCACTAAGTGTCTATTGCCTGCCCTGCCAGGCACTGCGCTTGATGCTGGGAGTGGTATAGATGGTCCCCAGAGCTCAGGACCACAGCTCAAGGTTTACATGGAAAGAGTTCAGTTAGGATGCTGTCTTCCACATCACACTCTCTGACTCGTGCACACCTTGTGTTTCCCCTGGTGTTGGAGGTCACTCTACACAAAGATGAAATAGGACACTTACCCTTTTCATCAAAGAGTTTGCAATGTAAAATTCTATAATTTTCTAAGAGTCAACATGTAGGTGAATTTTCAACATTCACAGAAGTTACTTTGTATCTATGCATTAGAAGAGAGACCCTCATTACTGCACCTGAAAATGCAGTACTCATGTTCCATGACAAGTTGGCGACATTTTTGGGTCTGAAGTAAGATACCTGGTAACATTAAATTCACCTTCTAGCTTCCTCATAGGACTCAGCATAGATAAGCCCTTGCTGAAACAAAGCTTGTATGGAGGCGCCTGGGTCTAGCTAAGGTTTCTAAAGAAGCCTAAATGCCAAGCTATCTAGTGATAATTTTCTCTTTATAATTATGCCTTCCCCCTCTTTCCAAGAAATACTTTCAAGAACCTTGGGCTTAGGAGGTTTCTAATGGCTTGGGACAGTTCTGGCACATAGAATAAGTTGCCCTTGATCACCCAACTAGAGAATGGCAGACCCAGGACTGGAACTTGGGTTCAGGGCTCTGTTCACTATACTCTTGCTGCCTTTGAGCCTCAGTTTCCTGTTCTGTAAAAGAGTTAAGAAGCTAGGAAGCTATGCTCCCCTTAGCAGGGCTGTCATAAGGATAAAACAAGATCATGAGTATGAAAGTGGGACAATAACTGTAAGAAATGGCAGTTCTCTTATACGGTCAGAGAAGGGGAACTAAGTACCTTCTGAATTGACAACAATGATCCCTTGCACTCCCTTCTGGCTCTGAATTCGTTTTAGGGTTTCTTCTACTTCAGCCTGGCAAATGGAAAAAAAAAAGGAGAGAAAAAACAAGAAGATTAGTTCATTACACCCAGTTCCCGACTCCTCCTTAAACTTTGCCAGGAACTGTCAGCCCTGGGGTCACTGTAACAGTTCCTTGGATGCTGTTACAGCCTCCACTCCAGCTAAGTCCTCCTATCGTAACTACAGAACTTGGTTACTGTAGAATGTGTTCAAACCTAATACAAACCAGGCCATGATGATCATTACAGTCTTAATGCATCTTCACCACCCTGAAGCAGGTCCATTTCACACTAGTAGGGACACTTCTTAACATAGCCGACAAGGATGCACAGAATAATGATGCTATTTATTCCAGTCTTTACTCTTCTCTCCAAATACCTCCTGCCCATGAGGGAGGAATACTTAATGTCCACGGGATTTGGATACTTAAGTTATAAACTTCCTGTAAATAGGAACAACTTCGCTGGGCTCCTATTCAAGGTTCAGCGTTTACCTCCCCATCAAAGATCAGCTAGAAATAGCAAATTCTCCATCCCTGCCCTACTGCCAGTGGAAATACCTGGGATACTCTCTGCTGTCCAGGGAAGCCCTTTAACTACACCTTTAACTGCTTCCAAGGGTGGGAAACCTTTGGCCTCAAGGCCACATGCTGCCTTCTAGGTCCCTGGATGCTGCCTGTTGACTGAGTCCAAGCTTTACAGAACAAATCCTTTTATTAAGGGGATTTGTTTTGTGAAGTTTGGATTCAGTCAAAGGGCCCCACTTGAGGACTCAGAGGGCCACATGTGGCCTCAAGACCTCAGGTTCCCCACCCCTGGTTTAGACACAAAGCAGAAGGGAGAATGCCTAAACCTCCTGTTGGAGAAAGATATTTCTTTTTTTTTTCTTTAGAATATCCTTTCCCATATCAATGTTTCCCATTTCAATTTAAAAACCGTGTAATATGGAAGTCCAGATCACTAGACCTAGAATCAAGAAGACTTGTGTTCAAATCTGGCCCCAGACACTTAGGAGGTGTGTGACCAACCCTGGGCAAGGCACTTGACTTCTTTATGCTTCAGTTTCTTCAACTTCAAAATGGAGATCATAGCAACAACTACTTCCCCGGGTTGTTGAGAGGATCAAATGAGGTAACAATTGTTAAGGTCTCAGCACAAGGCCTGGCAGAGAAGAGGTGCTTAATGAATATTTATTCCCTTCTCTTCCCTTTCCTACTACGTGCAAGGTGCTGGGCTAGGCTCTGGGACACAAAGAGAAAATGAAGAATATACTCCCTATCCTTGAGAAGCTTCCATTCCTTTGGGAAAAAAAAGTTATAAAAAGTGATTGGGTCCTCTAGTATTACTGGTGTTATGGTTCAGCTACATTATGGGTTAATAACAGGAATCTAACCAACATTTACAACATTGCTTCTATGGGATAAGAAGTTCCAAATTTATTATCTACTAATTTATTTCCATGTTGGGGATGACCTGCTTTCTTTTCACCTTTTTTGTGTCTGGCCCCAAGCCCTAATAAAGTAGCTTAATTTGTACAATACAGACCATGTGAAATACTTAATATGCATACAGGTAAAACTGTGTGTTATCAAAGAATCCTGAATTTTGAGTCAGAAAATTTTGGCTTGAGCCCTGCCTCCTCTACTGCTAGTTCTAGGACATTGGGAAGTTCATTCTAGGTCTCATTTTTCTCACCTGTAAAATGGGCTGAAAATATCAACCCTATCTAATTTCAAAGAGGGATGTTGTAAAGGCAAAATAAGATAGGGCAAGTAAAACAGGTTCGTGCCTGTGAAGCTTTTTGTAAAGACTCATGTAAATATAACAGTAACATGTTATATCTGTTGCATGAGGGAGGGGGCAGTATGTGTCCTTCATGTCTCTTATTTAGGAGAACTGGAAGAAAAACAACAGAACCATTGAACAAATGGAAACCTCAGCGTCTAGTGCACAAACAAAAAATTCAAACATCTTCCAGGAAGCAAATCTCCAATAAGGGAAGGGAGGACAGCCTCTGAGACTTAATGCACTTAATTAACTGGCACCTGAAGACCTGACACATCACAAAAACTCTATACAAGAAATGTGTGACAAGGACTCCGTGGCAATAGTAAACACTTAGGAATGTATAAACAAGATACATAACAGAGGTCAAATCTAAAACCACCTAAGGAGGTAAAGTCAACTTTACTTCAGAGGGCTTGCTTCAAAGAAAAACCTTTTGATCCCAAGCACTCCTTTCTTTCAATAAGGTTGGACGTAGAGAAGCACTTTCTTCCCAGGGGCTAGTGTTGGGAAAGTAGTTCATATTCTGGTTATTTCCTGGTGGGTATTAGACTCATGACCCAATAAACTCACAATGAGCAAACATAAGAGGATAAGGAAGTTGGACAAGCCAAATTCTGCAAATACAAAAAGACCTGGCAAAATCTATAAAATGGGTGAACATTTGGGCTGCGGAAGTAGATTTAGGAATATCTGTAAATCCGGATACAAATAAATGGTATCAAAAAAGCAAGTACGTGAATAGAATCTAGAAACGGAGGAAAAAGCAAGAATCAAAACAAGCACAAATAATGTGTTGGTTCATGGTTTTCTGTCATCCTGGTGGTATCCAGGGGCATCCCACAGGCCTGTATGTAAAGTGTCTTTACTTGGGTTCAAAAAAAGCCAATGTACAATTGCAGAAGGGGGAAGATATGACTATGTGAGAAAAGACTAGGGACCACAAATCTGAATGGTCTAGTGGTGTGACAAGCCAACTAAAAAAGCTAGTGATCTAATGCAGCCAGTCTACCTTAGGAGAGGAAAAACGTCCAGTACAAAAGCGGTGACAGTCCTGCTGTTCTAAGCTCTAATCAGGCCATCTTGTAGAGCGTTTGGGCATCGAATTTGAGGAAGGGCAGTGACAATTTAGAGAATGCCCATAAGAGCTTAACCAGAGGACCATGCCAAAGGAATCCATTGCCTGTTAAGGGACTGCTTAACCTGGAGAAAACTCAGGCAGGAAACATGATGATTGCCTTCAAGTAACTGAAGGTGTGTCATGTGGATGAGGGATCTGATTTATTCTAGCACCAATAATAATAATAATAAGCAGGAAGGAGACAGATTTCATTCACCCAATGTCGGGAAGAACTTTTAACAAGCATAACCTCCCGACAATAGAATTCGAGGTACCGAGTTCCCCGTCCTCCGACAAGCATTTATGAAACACCTGCTAAATGCAGCAAAGGCCCTGTGACCACCCTTCAGGAATGCTAGGGAAGGAACGGCTGTGGAGGCCGAGGCCGATGCATCAGGCCCTCCGCGAGCCTTCCTGGGATAGTACGACTGCGCTCTCGAGATGCTTCGCGGCTATCGGGGTGGGGGAAGAAGTGAAGGAGAGGAGTCTCAGAGGAAGGAGGACCACCCGGCAAAGCTCACTTGCCCGGCCTTAACATCCTACGGCAGGCCTCCCTCAGCCTCTACGAGCCAGAGCCTGGGCGGGGCAGCCACTTCCGGTCCCCCGGCATTCGGGCCCCGGCGCTTTAGTTCCCACCCTCCGCCTCCCTGTCAGCGCCAGCCTCCAGGCCCAATCGCATGCTACGGAATGCACGAACGGAGAAGGCCTTCGGCGTCAGGCAGCAGGCCATGAGAGAACCAGGGCCTGAGGCTGGGGCTGCCTCCCGCCAGGGTCTGGCACTTACCATCCTTCAGGCAGAAAAGACAACACCGCAGCTACAACAGAGGCGGGGGCGCCCTACCCAGTCCAGAGACGGTTCCCTTCGGCGCCTGCGCAACCCCACCCCGTAAACAGGGAGACGCTCAGGATTGGCATCTCTTCCAGCCAGTGGCGTGTCAGTTTCCCTAGAGAGTGGGCTCTTAGGCGTCGGCTCCCCGAGGGCCCGTCGGTGATTGGCACAGCGCGAGCCGGAAGCGCAGCCCAGGCGCGAGCTCCGCGGCTTGACGCAACAGGCGCGCGGTCAGGGTCCGGTCTGGGTGCGTGGAGTTTCGGTAGCTCTCTCATCTGCTGCGGGCTGTGAAGGGCCGCCCGGGAGAGCGGACGGACCGGGGGCGGTGACCTCGGGGTGGGGAGGGGCTGCATGCATCTCCGTCGCATTCTGACTTGGAGCCGTGGTCCGCTCACGACCCGGGCAAGTGGCAGGTCTGACTTCGGTTTTGTCCTCCGAAAGCGGGGCAAGTGTTAGGGGTCTTCTGTGGCGCGTCTTGTGACATCAGAGGTAGACGGGTCTGGGGCGCAGGGATCCAGGATCGAGCTCCCTGAAACTACCTCCCATGCTAACATTCAGACTTTCGGTACGGGACCATTCTCTTTGTGTTAACTGCTTCTGCCGTGCCCCACCCCTTAGGCCAAAGCTGCTTTTACTTTCCCTTGTTTCTCCTGGAGGTCGGGCACCCTCACCCTGCAAGAAGGCTCCCCAACAAATAGAGCAGGATCTGCAATGCCTGGCCACCCAAGATGGCAATGTTTGAGTAAGACGGATCTCAGGAGACAAAGCTATAAGTGGTAGCCGGGCTTGTGACAATTAACTTCACCTCTCAGCCCCATTTTTCCTCATCTGTAATATGTGGATAATACTTGTACCCGCCACTTCATGGGTTTGTGGTGACGGTGCTTTGTATACTTTGATTGTTGACATTCTTAAATTACTTTAACTCTATGCAGTAGTGATTAATTACTTTCCATTTTACAGAAGAGGCTACTGAGGCTTAGAGAGGAAAGGACCTAAGGTCATTACTGAATAGCAGAGCAGGGATTTGAGCCTAGACTCCTGATTCAGGCATTACTATCAATTTCTTCTGCTTTCCATTTGAGCTTTTTGAAAGCCCTGGCCTTGGAACAAGGGCAGCCCTATAGGACAAATACAAAACTCAGTGGATATATTATATTTTTGCCTTTATATCCTGTGTTTAGCACAGAGCTGGGCACATAAACATTTCATAAATTCTTGTTGAATATTCAGTGCACACTGAGAGTATTGATTTCTCAGGTAATTTTTGTGTGAAATTGCCTATGTTGGGACTAATGAACTGTCAAAGGTGCTTTGTAATCAGGTAGTCAAAGCCATAACAGACCACAGAGGAGGCAGTATATTGTAGTGGAAAGAGCACTAGCAGCCTTTTCATTCCACCAATCAACAAAGATTTATTAAGTGTCTACTATGTGCCAGGCCTGTGACACTGTCCCTCTGCCTTCCAGTAATTTCCATTCTCTTGGTTTACAAACAAAAAATATACAGTGATGAGGGGAGGGTATTAACTGGCAAAAATTAAGGAAAGCTTCTTGAAGAATGTGGCATTGGAGCTGAGACTTGTAAGAAGCTTATACTCTAGGAAGCAGAGGTGAAAGAGGAAATCATTACACAGAAGCAGGAGGTGAAGCATTTAGGAGGATAGTAAATAGGCCAGTTTGGCTGGGCATAGAGAACATGGGAGGGGGGTTGTAATGTAATGTCTGATAATCCTAGGACAATACACTAGGGCCATATTGTGAAGGGCTTTAAACACTAAAGGAATTTGTATCTTAGCCTTTAGGCAAGAGGAAGCCACTGAGGCTTCTTGAACTCAGTCAAAAGATCTGAGTCCCCTCATCTGACATTACCTGCATGCCTTTCTATACACAAGCCACAACCAGTATTTGTTTCATCATCTATAAATGAGGATCCTTGCATCATCTATTTCAATTTAATAAACAAATAGTTGTGGTATTGCACAAAGATATCTATGACATATACCTTTCAGAGAGCTCGTAACTGACTAATGGGGTTCGGGGGAGAGGAAGAATGGAACAGAATGAACCGTGACATGAGTGAATGAGGTGAGCCAGGGTCTAGGCAAAGACCACTTACCTTAGGGATGGTGGGAGAGTTAAGGGAAGGTTTTATGAAGGTGGTGTTTTGCCTGAGTTGGGCAAGGAGAGAGAGATTTCAACTGAGGTGTGCAGTTGCATTCCAGTTGAAAGCAGACGGGAGAGAACAATATAAAAATATAAAAACAAGACACTGTCTTGTCTTTGTTCAGTGGTTTTAAAGAAAAGACAAGATTGGGGAGGTAGGATGGGGTCACCTTGTAAAGTAGAGGTGTGCTGAAGGCAGCTTGTACCCCACCTCACTGATTGTTCAATTTTCAGTGTGAGCATTTACCCTTTGGAAAAGGGCAAATGCTATAAATCAGGTTTTGGTTTATTGTTTTGTTAACTATCTGGACTTAAGAAAGTGATGGGAAAATGTTAATTGAAATTAAACCTAGAAGAAAGTGTACATTTTTGCCCCCTGGAAAGTTGCTTATTAAACCCTACCCGTTCGAGAGAGCCTTTTTTGCTAGGTTCAGGACTCTATATTTTATTTAGTAGGCAATGGTGAGTCATTACAGATAAATCTGAGCAGAGGAATGACATGAACAGTCATTTATGTGTTAGGGTAAAACTACTTGGATTCATGGAATATGAGAAAAGCATGCTGTAAACTACTTAAAAATGCTAAAGCTTTCACTCTCTCCTGGTAGATGTCTGGAGTTTATGATGGCAGGACTAGACATTTTTGTCTTTGGGACAGTACCCAGCATGGCCATGAGGAACTTAGAACAGTGAAGAACCAGCAACTATCTCTTCTGCCTCCAGAGCCATGCTGGGTAGGATTCTTTGGAAGGATATTGATCCCAGAAAGGTGTGGACTAGACTAGATGAATTACTAGGTTGGATTCTGCATCCAGTGCTGTGATGGGCCAGGGGTGGTTTAAGGTAAGCAACATTCAACAAACATCTACCAGTTAGCTTTGCATTTGATTGCATTACAGTTGTCCTACAGATTCCTGGCAGAAGTGAGTGGTTTTAGTGAACCTTAAATATCAAAGCTCAAATGGAGTGGGAGCAGCTGTCTTCTCTCTCCCTATTGAGGTTATAATAGAAAGAGCACTGCATTTAGAGTCAGAGGACCTGAGTTCAAGGTCTGCTTATTTGCCAGTGTGTCATCCTGGACAAAGTCACCTAACCTCTCAACCATACTTTTTTCATCTATAAAATGATATTAGACTAGGTGGCCATTAAGGCACTTTCCAGCTCTAAGATCCTATGATCCTTATAAAATTTGGAATAACACAAAGCTGGGAAGGATGGCCATTAAATATGAAGACAGAATTGGAACTCTCCACTAATGTAAGTTCATTTTAGTCATATCAAAATCCTAGACTTGGGTTCAAAAAATTCATTGAAAAAGATAGTAGAGATGTAGCTGGGCAATAGTTCATGGGGGAAATGATATGAGGGGTTTTAGTGGATTATAAGCTTGAAAGAGCTAATAAGTGATATAGCAGCTAAAAAAATGTACTATAATCTTAGTACTATATTAATAAAAGGGGCAACTAGGTGTTGCAGTGGATAGAGTGCTGGACCGGGAGTCCGGAAGACTCATTTTCCTGCATTCAAATCTGGCCTCAGACATTCCTCATCTGTAAAATGAGCTGGAGAAGGAAATGGCAAACCGCTCCAGTATCTTTGCCAAGAAAACCCCCCAATGGGTCATGAAGAGTCAAACACAACTGAAAAGACTGAATAGCAATAATACTAAGAAAAGTGTAGTGTCCAAAACAAAATAATAAAAATCTTCTTGTCCTCTACTCTGATTAGGCCACACCTGGTATATCCTGTTGAGCTTTTGTTTATTATTTTAGGGATGACAATGAGTATACAGAAGAGGGCAACCAAGACAGTGAAACAGGTGAGGAGAGTATTAAAGGAACTGGGGCTGAGCAGAGAAGACAACGGCCTAGACAACATGATGGCTGTTTCACAGCATCTGCAGTGCAGATGACTAGATTTATTTTGCTCAGAAACAGAGGGCAAAATCAAGAGCGACAGGTGGAAGCTGAAGAGGCAGATTATCAGCCAGCTCCATATAAGGAAAAGTGGAGTGATGGGTGTCCTCAGCATAGTTCATGAATTCCCCATCCCTGGAGGTTTTCACCCAGTGGCTGGATGACCATTTATTAGGGATGTTTTAGAAGAGATCTGGGTCTATCAGGGTTTATATTTGTTAAAGGTGAATTGTGAGCCCTGGTTCTGCTACTTGCCACTTGTGTGATCTTGGGCAAGTCCTTTACTCACTCATCTTTAAAATGAGGAGCTTGGCCTAAATGATCTCTGAGATGTCCTGTCACTTTAAATCCATGATCCAGATTTTTGGAATACGCAAAGCACGGTTAGGCATTGTGTATAATAAGAAGAATGAAAAGCAACACAGTCTGCTGTCAAGCAGTTTACATTCCACTAGGCCTGGGGAGAGTTTGGTGCACAAATAATACAAGGTAGAATGACAGGGGTAAAGAAGAGGTCCGGGGAGCTCTAGGGTTGGATGATGATTCCTGAGGTGCATTCCAACTCTTAAGAGTCTATGGTGCATAGGCTTCCCCAAAGAGAAGCTGTTTCCCTCCTACCCCATCCACCTTTCCATTCCTATGGCCATCATTCTAGTTCAGGCCCTTATCACCTCCTAGGCTGCTGCGATAACCTAATGATTCTTGCTGCTAGTATTTCCATCTTCATCCAATACTCTGCCCTTCCTCGTGTACATATCTGATCATAGTAGATGAGGATGTCACCTCCATTTGTCAAACTTTCAATGAGTCCTTGTTCCCTACCACATAAAGGCAGTTAAAACCTTCTCAGTCGTGCACTATCCTGCCTTTCTAGCCTTCCCATGTGCCTGAAATGCTCTGTCCCTCCCCCCTCCGCCAATCACTTCTGCCATCTGGAGACAACACAGGATCGAAACTGAAGGAGCTGTTGGTCTTCCTAGTTCAACCCCTTCACTTTACAGATGAGAAAACTAAGGTCCAGAAAGGAAAGGTGATTTCCCCATTGTCACACAGGTAAGTCATTATTAGAATTGGATTTCAAAGCCAGGTCATGACTCCAAACCTAGCCATTTTTCTACCACATCTGGCTGCCTCCTTTCCATCAGTACCCATGTGAAATGCTATCTCCTCCAGAAAACCTTTCCTGATATATCCAGTAATAATCTTTTTTTCAGGGACCTCATGAAGCTCTTAGAGATTACATGCATCAGAGGCGGCTAGGTGACCCAGTGGATAGAGTACTAGACTTCAGAGTCTGGACCCAAGTTTAAATCCAGCCTCAGAAGCTTACTAGCTGTGGGACTCTGGGCAAACGACTTAACTGTGATCTGCCTCAATTTCCCCATCTGTAAAATGGGGATAATAACAGCACTGGTTGTGAAGATAAAATATAAAGCATTTTGCAAACCTTAAAAAGTATTATGTAAATGCTATTATGTTGTATGTACTTATGATCCACATTGATTTTATAGTAATCTCTGTATATTACCCTCTCTACTATCTCTTGAAGGATATCTTTTTTTGGTATCTCCCCTAGTGTTTAGTAAATTATTCTGTTAATAGTAGGTGCTTATTCAATGTTAATCAAATGTAGACCTCCAGTTGGAGGTCTCTTTACGCCACACTAAAATTTAGGGTCCCTTGCAGGAGATGATGTGTGAAGCAACTATGCATAGGGTGGGTTTAGTAGAGATTAACTGCTGTCCCATTTATTACATCTTAAAAAGGTACAGATACCATCACCTTTTTTGGGCTGACTTGTTCTAACTCCTATATCCTTAAAGACACAATTAAAATTCAGAAACTTTAACATTTACTCTCCTAACTCAAAAGGAAGAACTAAACAACTGAACAGATCAGCTCCAGGCTGAAAGGTGGTCATGTCTCACTGAAGCATTCCTATAGCAAATGGATTTAAAAGTTGAGAGCCTGATGTTGAAGCCTGAACTCTGCTTCTAAAATGGGACACATTACCTATTTAAGCCTTAGTTTCCTTATCTGTAAAATGGGGATAATTATCTTTGAACTACCTACCACCCTAGTGATAATGCTCTGTAAACTGTGATGGACTATGGAAATATTATTAATTATTTGAGGAAAACAGTGGAAAAGTCAGCACCAGCCCCTCTCATTAGTAGCCCTTGATGTTTTTACCCTTAACTCTTGGAAGCAAGCAATCTTGTATTATAGAACGATACACAGTAATACTAATTAGGGAAGACAAATGTATTCTTCCTTCTGTATTTATTGTGAACAGGCAAAACCAGATCACTAGTGTGGTCACAAAACTACCCGAAGGACCTGATCCTGCAGAAGGTGAGCAGTGACCATGACTAACAAAAAATTCCAAGTGAAGGACCAAAAGTTTAATTACAAATTCAGACTTATACTTTGTGGGAAAAAAAATAAAAAGAATGAGCCAGCTCTTTAAGGAACTTTATAAAAGTGCTTGACTTGCTGAGATACTTTTAGTTACCCAAGTGTTTGAAATTACAGTTGAAGGAAAATTCAAGAATGAAATTCCAATACAATATTGTATAATTCAATGCTGCTGTTCCCTGATTAGTGAAAGCATATATACAAACTAGAATTCTGGAGGAAAAAAAAGACACAAATCTTTAAATTAGGATCTCCCCCAAAGGGGCTGGAGATGCTGATATTTACAAAAGAGGTGACATTAACATAAGAGTTATCAGAAAAAAAAGGAAAAATATATCAAAATTGAGATAGGACAGAATTAAGAGGGAAGTATTATCTCCTTGGTTCATTAGAAATGAATAAAAGCATATGATGGTATTTCCAATTATTAACTGGCTAATTATAAAAGGATATAATTTTTGTTTGTTTGAATGAAACACACATACTGGGGCTTTCATATGACTCACATAGGGGCATTTCCTGGTCATGGATTACAAATTCCCTGTCAAATAAAAGGTAAGGCTTGTCATTAGTTGGTCAAAATCCACTGATATGAAATTCAAGTCTGAAAGCTAAACTGAATTCTAATAGGGTTCTTTGAAGTCCTACATACTTAAGAGTCTTGGTATTCTGACATAATCATATAAGAACAGTAGTTTGTTTATTTGGTTTACTTGATGTTTTAAAACCACCATATTCTGATAATTTGTACTAAAAATTTCCCTGGCCAGACCCCTTCTCTCTTGTCAAACTGTGAGTGCTGTGCTCCCCAGTTTCCCACACCAAGCAGAAGAATGCACCAACTGCTTATTTTACTTCCTTTTTATTTCAATATAACATGCGGTAAAAAATTAACAGGATTTGTTAGCATTTACAATGCTTACAAAGAAAGTGGACTTTCTAAAAGCATTTTTAGTTAAGATTTAAGAAATCTCTCTAATTAAACACTTACAAATCTATTTTCAGATGTTTAGTTTGGACCCAAATGTAAAGTTTCATTTGGTAGGTATTTGTATTTCCTGTATATCTGCAGTATTTTCACATAACCTCTGGTTCTTGGGATATCCAGCCCCCCAGTACCCTTGTACAGCAGGAAAGACATATACATGTGGCCACTTAAATTAAAGGAAAAAATGGAATAAGGGAGACCCCCAGGCTGCAAAAATATATACAAGCATTTGCCTTTTCTGGAACTAAACATTTCATCCATAAAAATATTTAACAGCCAAACCCTATAGAACTAGGGCTATGGCTATTTCAAATATAACTATTCTGTATCTTAAAAATATAGGGCAGAAAGCCTCTTGGGTGATATTTATACATTTTAACACTATTTCTATGTCTGTAGATGAATCATGATGCATTATGTAGAACAAAAAAGGTCTACTTTCTTACATTATCTCACTTAATTTTGTAAGCCTCTCTTGTAAGTCTCTTAGGTAACTAAATTTCATTATGATAATTCACCTCACCAGGAAATCTTTATAAGGCTTTGTTTCCTCCAGAGCCCGTCACATACTGCAAAAATTTGGTCTTATTTGGGTAGCTGGTAATAATTTACTCAGTAAGACTGTCTCATATCCTCCCAACAGGAAAAAATAGCAGGTCTCTGCTTTAAAATCAGCTACGGCTTTAGGAAATCACACTGCATTTCTTGGGGTGTATGGAAGGGATGTGTAAAAATAAAATAATAAAATCAAACAGGATTGGGAGAGCCTCTTTTCCCTTTTATACTGACAGGCAATCACTGGACAAGGCAGCCCATTCACTCGTATGAAATCTGTGTTTTAAGATTCTAGTGTCTTAGAGCCTAAGTATGCTTAATATCTTAACAGATTTTTGTTTGTTTGTTTTTTTGCTCTAAGATTCAACTGTGGAAGAAACAAAAATGTTTTCTTCCAAGTGGGGCTAGATTCGCTTTCTGACAAGCACCATTTACACCTTAGGCTCCATCCCAACTGCAATCTATCCCCAGACAGACTCTGTGGGGGCACAATGAGGAAAGACAACACACATACACACACACACACACATAAAAGACTCAAAGTGCAATAATTAGCAAAAATCAAGTCTAATCTTAAAAATTAACGGAAAATAGAAATTAAAAACTGCTGAATTTTAAAGCAAAAGTAATAATTCAACTAAGCTCAGGCACAACAAAGAACCGAAATGACTACCTTAACATATGATGGGGAAATGATCAGTCTGAATACAGAGAGAGAACATTTCACAGGTAACTGAGTAAACACAGATGGGCGTTCTTCAATTCATTAAAAAAAAAAAAAAAGTTTCCCCCAAAATGAAAATATAATTAATTTCTGGGGATGTTTTACATTTGTAGAGTTTGAATTAGAAGGTAAACAGTGTATAAGGTGGCTTGTTCAACACCACTTAAATGTTTAAAAAAAAAAAGGAATTATCTGAATATGACACAATTGCAAAGGTCAAGAGATGGAACATCTCTCCTTTTCCACCACCAACATAAATCTGTAAAAATATTGGACATATACAACCTAACCTATTTCAATTCCAGGTGAACTTTTGCAAACAGTATACAACTGTAGTGTTTATAGAGGGATTTTGTTTGGCTACCTAGCACCTCTCTGGGTGCTCCTTCCCTCTGTTTGCTCTGTCCTCAATTAAACTGCTTGTAGTCAAGTTTGCCAGACCTGTCTCATGTACACAGCCAATGTAAACAATCCATCCTATTCCCCAGCAACTTTCCTACAGTGTTAGCAATGCCTAGGCAGTTAAGCATCTGCACTTCTGAATTCATTTTTGAAGTGGCACTGAACGGCAGAAGGTATTTGTGAACAAATGTGATAGTTCTGGATCACTTCCAGAGGTGACAATCAAAATGACGCAAAATGGAGAACAGTCAGGCCAAGCTGCAGTGAGAATAGGCACGTGAGCTGGATGCTTGCTCCTGGTACCTGGGAGTTGGCTTAAGCTTGAACTGATAATCCCTCTTTACCAAGAAGCTTATGATGAAGAACCTGTACACTGCAGCTATAAAGGGACTTCCCAGAATGTCTGCAGCTCCCCCAAAGAAAAATCTACCTCCAAAGGAAAGATTTGACCAAATAAAAGGTTAAAGAAACATTCTTGTTGAGTAAAACAAGGCAGGTGTCATTGCTGTGTTAAATCTCAAGTTAAGTCAGATTTAATCTGTAGCCATGTCACTTGAAGATCTTTTTTCTGGAAGGGCTCGGTAGAAATCCAGAATTACTGGGGCATCAATCGCAATGATAACATTAATTTACTTACACACAAATAACTCTTAAAACAGTCAGAGTCCAATTTACAAGATGTGCAACAAGCAGAAGAGGTGAAGGACAAACATTGCAAATGAATTCATGTCCTTCAGGGGTGCAAATTCTCAGAGGTTACTCTTGTCCAAATCCTTCTGTTTCCTCAATAGCAAATAACAGTTTTTCTTTCAGTTGTTCATAGCTCTTGTAGGGTGGTAGATCCAAGCGGTTAAAACTAAAAGTAAGAATGATCAGCATGAGGGAAGCAAACTCGTAAGGAAACACAACAAAGAAACTAACAAAATGTTTTACCTTTGGGGCTTAGTTGCTGCCAGAGAAAGAAGACTCTTTATATACAGAGTTTTACTTGATCCCTCCAGGTTTTCTCCCTCCTCAGATTACCTTGTATTAACTTATCAGAGTACTTGTATCCCTACAGTAAAATATAAGCTCTCTGAGGGACTGTTAGCACTGGAAATAAACATGCCTGGTACAGAGGTGGTAATCAACAAGCATTTATCAAGGACTTATGGATAAGGCACTTCTTTCTCTAAAGGCTGAGATCACAAAGAAAAGTAAAAATAATGCTTGCCCTCAAGGAGTTGCCATTCTAACATAGGAGATAATGTAACAAATAGGTACAGATATCAGAATACACAGAGCAGAGACAATGTAATAAGACGGGGGCAGACTAGCAGTCCTGCTTAATTGCATGCCTTGATTATAAGTTCTCTCTCTAGTCTACCATGTGGAAGAGGAGGCTGTCTCTGTTAGGAACTGCAAACTGATGTAATTAATAATGGCAATTGCATCTGGATACTTCAGTCTAGACCTAGTGCTTTGGCCCCAGGACCTAGATTGTCCTCTAAGGAACTTTCCCAGTCTTAAAAGTACATGATACTAGAGGGAGAGGAGGAAGGAGGAGAGATGATGGGTGTGGTACACTACATATTCTGTCAGACACCATGGATGTATTTTGTTGACCTGCTTTTGTTTCTCTTTTTAATATTTTTATTATGAGGGATGGGTCACCGGCTAGAGGAGAGGGGAGGCACAGATGTGGAAACAAATGTGATGCAAGAACAAAAAGACATCAAGAAAAATAAGATTTTTTTTTAAAAGTCTGATAACTATGAAGAAAGATCAAGCATTTTCCTAAAACCAATATAAAATAGTAAAGAAGGCAAAGCTGAAAACTCACTAATTGTGGAAGTGAGTTTTAAAATTTACTTTCGTGGCTCAAGATGAATATGCCAAGGAGGTGGTATAATTTTAAAAAGAGAAAAAAAATCAGAAATGCTGTTCAAATTAATGTTCTTATTCTTTCACTCATATTGCAGAAGTAGCTTTGGAATCTTGTTGAAGTCTAGATATCCATAAACTGAAGTCTGCTTATTCTCACCAGGCTGTTTTCTGTCATTCTAATATAAAATACTGTGGTGGTGGTGTTTTTTTTTAAACATAAAAAATACTATCTTTTAAAAAATGAGCAAACAAAGGAAGTGTCTTTTCCCAAGTAGTGCTAGGAGGTAAGTTCTTATCTAAACATGAAAAAGATGATAATAAAAGATAAAGAAATTCTGACCTCATAAAATCAAGGCCCTTTAGCACAAACAAGATCCATGGACTTAGAAGAAAAACTGTAGAGTTGGGAAAAATGTCTGTATTAAATATCTCTGAAAAAAAGTCTGATTTCCACGATCTATAAGGAATTGATACAAATAGATAAGACTTCAAAGGCAGCCAAAGGATTCATACCCTTGACATTTCTGGAAAGTTTTCAAACAAAGAGTCCCAAACTTTCAGAAGCCACACCAACCTCTAAATCACTATAAGAGAAGTAGAAATTAAAATAGTTTTGACGTCTCAGTTCTATCTCATGATCAAAATGACGGAAAGAGTCAGTGAGAGAAGGGGCAGGTGAAGAAAAACACTGTTGGTACATCTGTGAACTGCTCTGATAGTTCTTGAAGACAATTTGAAATTAGGTGAGAAAAGTCACTAAGTTGTCGATAACCTTCTGACCCACTGTTGGGCATAAAGTCCAAAGGACAAAGATGAACTAAAATATTCACAGCAGCACTTTTTGTGGTATCAAAAATATTGGAAACAAAGTTAGGGCCCAAAAACTGGGGAATGGTTAGAGACAGTTATGGAATATGCATGTACATATAATCCACTATATGAAGAATTCTGGGAAGTGTTGACATAAATTGAGTATATGAACAGGAAGACAACATTCACAATGACCATATTAACATAAAAAAGCATAGAGGAAAATCCTATAAGAAGGAGAATCATATTGAAAGGTGAAAAAATGCATCATGAAATACCCCCTCTCCTCTCTGTAAGAGGGAATGAATATCACTGAAGGACTAACTGGTTTTGCTGCACTGTTATCTTTGTTATAAGGGAGGGTGTTTGGGGGAACAGTGTCTATCAGGAAATGATTGTGGTGTGAAAACAAAAGGCATCAGACAGTAAGTAGATAGGGAGGAAAGAGGCAACCAGTGTACATGACATTCTGGAATTAGGGCAGTGAAAGCTATAGACACAGAGCATAAAAGCAAGACCTGAATATATTTGTAGGCAGTGGGAAAGACGTCAATATATAAAAGAGAGGAAAAGATGTGAAAAGAATGACTAATGGGGCAAACTCCTGAAAGAGGTGGAAGGGAAGAAGATATAAGGAGAGAAATTAGTCTTAACTAGGAGAAGGGTCACCTTTTCCTTTTTTTTTTCTTTCTTTTTTCACCTCTTCTTCAGAAACTGAAACAAAGGACAGGCTGGGTAAAGAGGGAATAGGGAGTTTTGAGCTATGAGAATGGGAAGAGGACTCTTGAAATGGCATAAAGTAGGAGGTGAGGTCATCTGCTGGGAGGGAGCAAGCTGCCAGCAGGAGAGAGGCATCAGAAAATGAGCAAGTTTTGAATAGTTGCTGCAGACAGGGTGACAGAGTCAGTAAAGGAAGAATAAAAGGTTTTCTGTGCAATGGTCAGGGGCTGAGCCTCAGCTGAGATTAAACAATGAATCTGCAATGGACCCAGTTGATCTTACACAAGTATTAAGCAGCAAAGAGGGAATTTAAGATCAAGCTTTCTGACTCTTCAGTTTTTTACCATGATACTGTGTAATGTAATTATTTCCTTACAGAATCAAGTATTAGGAAAAAACAGAGGACTTCATGCTTCAAGGTTAGAGATGATTGCTAAGGTCCTTTCCAATTATGCTCTGGCAACTGTTGTAGCAATCATGTAGCAATCATTCAATTATTTTTCTTCACCAAGGAAAAACACTATTTTTCCCCAGTATCATATTTATCCAGCCCCTCCCTTTTCCCACTTTGATTTGTCTTGCTTTTTAATCATCATTAGCTGAAAATTCAGTACATAATTAATTTATTGATGTTTTCTTCTTTAAATTAGCCTTCACTTCCCAATGACTAGCATCCCCATTAGAAATGTCCCTTGCTGAAACAGATAAATATTGGAGGGGATGTGGGGCATTAACGCAATGTTGGTAGAGTTGTGAACTGATCCAGTCATTTTGGAGAATAATTTGGAACTATGCTCAAAGGGCAATCAAACTGCGCATACCCTATAATCCAAAAATACCACGGCTAGTCTATATCCCAAAGAGATCCAACAAAACGGAAAAAGGACCCATTTGTATAAAAATATTTACAGAAGCTCTTTTTGTGGTATCAAAGAATTGGAAATTGAGGGGATCCCCATCAATAGAGGAATGGCTGAACAAGTTGTGGTATGTGATTGTGATGAAATATTATTGTGCTATAAGAAATGACGAGCAGGATGATTTCGGAAAAACCTAGAAAGACTTACATGAACTGATGCAAAGTGAAGTAAGGAGAACGAGGAAAACATTGTACACAGTAACAGCAAAATATTGTACTGTGAATGACTTGGATATTGTCAGCAATACAATGATGCAAGACATTCCCAAAGGACTCATGATGAAACATGCTAGCCACCTCCAGAGAAAGAACTGATATTGTCTGAATACAGACTGAGGATACTATTTTTCCTCTTCCTTCCTTTCTTTTTTTGGTACGAGTCTTCTACAAAATGACTAATGCGGAAATGTTTTACATGATTGCATGTGTATAACCTATATCAAATTGCTAACTGTCTCCAGAACTGTCCTCCCTCAGGGAAAGGGAGAAAGGGGAATAGAATTTGGAACTCAAAACATTAAAAAAACTAAAAAAAAATTTGTTTTAACGTGTAATTGGGAAAAAAAATAAAATATTAAAAAAAAAAGAGGGACAGCTAGGTGGCACAGTGGATACAGCACCGGCCCTGGATTCAGAAAGACCTGAGTTCAAATATGGTCTCAGACACATGATACTCACTGTGTGACCCTGGGCAAGTCACTTAACCCCCACTGCCTAGGCACCCCCCCCTTGCAAAAAATGTCTTTTACGGAAATATAATTAAACAAAACAAACCAACATGTTAACATGTCTAATAATGCATGCCTCATTCTGATAGTTCCTCTCTTCCCAAAAGAGGGAGGGGCATGTATCACCATCAGTCCTCAGGAGTCAGTATTAATCAGTGAACTTCTGATATCTTTCAATCTTTACACTGCTATCTGAGATCTACATTTTGAGTGATAAATATTATGTATCCTCTAAAATTCTACATATTGAGAAATAATTCAGTAGGTATAATTTCTTCATTTATGATAAATAATTAGTATATGCTAGTCTGAATGATTCTACTCACCAGGTATGACTTCTAGGTAACCAATTTTCTTTCCCAACTTTTTCAATGCAAAACTTTTGTGGTCCATTGCTCCCTATGACAGAATAAAATATTTATCAATTTTTGGTGTGTCTGGCCCGGACAGAAAATGGGCCTCTATGCAGTCTTCTACATTTTGGACAACATATTATGTCCCCTAACTGGTAAAAGGAAATACAGGAATGTAATATATGAAAAACTCAAGTATTAATGCTGAAGGAAAAAGGAGAAAATAACACAATCAATTTTTGGTAATTTACTGTGGTCACAACTTGGTTTAGATCCAGAATTATTCAACCTTTCCCAAGAAGACTTAAAGAACAAGGCCAAAATTGCTTCGGGAATTTGGGTTTTTTTCTTCCTCCCAGTGAAAAGCATCCTCTCAGTAAGCTCAATACTAATCCCATCTTCTTATGGATGACGAACATCCATGTTAATTTGTGTCAATCCAAACATTCGTGACATCTCAAATAGTTTTTGCCATTATGCTCTAATGGGCACACATCACTTTCAGACTCCTAAAGGACATACTGCCATTTTCTATTCAATTCAATTCAACAGAGTAAGGACCTATGATGTGCAAGATACCTGCTAAATGCTGTAGAGATAAGGATGAAAAATGACACAAGTCTGTGACTTGAAGGAGTTGATTTTTTTTTTTTTTGGCTAGGCAATGGGATTAAGTGACTTGCCGAGAGTCACACAGCCACTAAGTGTTATGTGTCTGAGGCTGGATTTGAACTCAGGTCCTCCTGACTCCAGGGCCGGTGCTCTATCCACTGCGCCACCTACCTGCCCCTAGGAGTTGATAATTTTAGCCCAGAGCCTGGCACTCAGTGGGCATTTAATAAATGCTTGTTGATTTTCAATCTTTAATCTCTCTCCATCCATTAGCACCTTTCCATTTGACTTTAAACATGGGCAACTTTCCCTTGCAAGTCTCAAAGCAAATGCGTTATTTTAAAAATTACTTGCTTGACCCTGCTACTCCTTCCAGCTTCTGTCCTATTTTTCTTTCCTGTCCCCATCATATTACAACAGAGAGTGATCTGTGTTCATCATCTTCCTTTCCTCATCGTCCATTTTCTCCTTAATTCCCAGTAATCTTGTTTCTACCTCTCCTGCCCCAAACTATTTTCTCAAGGTCATCTTTTAAACAGATCCAGAGGCCTTTCCACTTTCTCCTTCTCTTGTGACTGCCTCTCTGTGGCATCCAAGCCTTCTTTTTAGCACTGTCTTCCTTCATAGGTCCTGTCCCACTATACCATCCTGGATCTTTTCCTTCTTTTTCAGCCATTCTTCTATCTCCTTCACATGTCCTTCATTCTTCTGATTTCTGCTCTCCTTTTCCCTAGAGAGCATATCTGTTCTTATACTTTCAATTATCACCTCTATGAGAATATTACTCCAAAATCTAACCCTGGGTGGGGAAGAAGCATGTACAATAAGCACCTACTATAGAATTAAAGGATCTGGGTTCAATTTACATCCTGTGTGACCTTGGGCAAGTCACTAAACCTTTCTAAAATTGAGTTTCCTTATCTGTAAAATGAAGGTTAGATGTGGTGATCTCAAGGGTTCCATTCAACCATAATTTTTATGATCTTATGATCTTTAATGATTTAATAGATCTTTTCACTTCCAAGTCCTATGATTTTTTTTCAAACTCAGCATGCTCCCAAATAAATTTACCACTTTTGTTGTTTCCCTAAAAATAACAAGCTTCTCAAAAATTTAAAAAAAAGGGGGGGATTTTGGGGGGCATTCCATGGGAAGTGTGTTGTGTCAAAACAAAATGTATAAATTTTTTTTACACAAAAGCAGTGCAATGATAGGGGAACAACAATAAGCTCCCCTTCTCACTTTCCTCCCCAGCTCCTGTCAAGGCTACTGCCATGCACTCCACCTCAAAGCCTTAAGGTTGCACTGATGCCCCTCTAACCCTAACTATTACTTGTACTGTTATAGCATTGCTTGCATGCATGTTTTTTCTCTGAGTCTTCTTTAATTATTTCCCCAATTTCCTCTTCTCTCACTAGCAGCACTTAGGTATAATGTTAAAAGCCCACAATAGACACTTAATAATGAATACTTTTTGAATTGAATACTTTTCCTAGAGATTAGGGTTGTGGTAGTCCTTAGCATTGTTTTAGTAGTCAATTTTCACAAAATGGGTTACCATATTCACCCACTGATGTGAAATACTGGGTTTAATGCCTACAATGAAATAAATGTGACAGTTCAAAATCATAGGTGAACATGCACAGAAAGGGTGACTTTACACAAACCCAAGTTAATCGAAATTACCTAAAGGAATTATTGCTTTATATTTTAGTTCTGACAAGATATATACATATACATACACAAACATACACACATATGTACCTATACCTATCTCTCTCTCTACATAAAAAGAGCCCTCTGCTTAACCAATTTCTGGTATTGGAAATATTTGCATACCCATGAGGTCAGCAAATCCCCCAACTGGCAACCTGCAAGTTCCAGTAACAAATTGCAACAGTCTCATTCTCTTCTCATTGTCAATTTCTTTCACAAACTGTTAAAAAAGAGAAAGCACTTTTAAACATACGGAATTATTATTCTGAAGCAACAAACAATCATTGTATCAAGCACATAAAAATAGCAATACATGTAAGGTAAAAATCATCCTAAAGCATCTCCTTCAACATTGCCAGTGACAGGACTGACCACTTTCCTACCTTGCCGATGTCTGTCATATAACATTTATCAGGCATAAGATCTATGCTTTTGACTGCTCTTACCTCGATATTCTCAGCTGTGAGATGGTTTAGGAACTACTTTTAGGCTGCAAAGAAGTTCCCTTGGCCCTAGAAGCATTCAAGGACAGACTAGATAACCCCTCATCAAGACGATGTAGAAAGGATTCCTGCTTCAAATCTGGGTTGGACTAAATGACCTCGAAGGGACCCTTTCAACTCAGATTCTATAAAGGCCTCTTCTGCCAATCTGAGTGCGAGACAGAGAAAGGGGCTGCATTTTGACACTGGACAGCTGATATCCCACTATGTTAGGATCAAATGTCTTAGGCAAAGCACTCCTGACCCTATTCAGTATCTCACCCCTTCCCCCCAATTCCCCATCACAGGGGAAAGAAATGCAGAAAAAAGAATGGAGAAGTGCCCTCTGGCATTTATATGCAATGCAACACTGTTCAGTATATATTTTGTTTTATGAAAGAACTGTTGTTTAGAGAACCCTGATCCAGAAGGTTTTATTCTATTGTCACAATGTTCCCTGTATTTTAGGGGGGTATATCTGGCATGCTTAGAGATAGCTGCTGAAACATGCCACTGATAAGTTGGTTGGCAGATACTCTGTCTCCTTCCCCTCCCGCTTCTTCTGGGATAGAAGCATGGCACAGTTTATTTAGCAATCCTGAGAACTACTATTCAATGATAATCTTAATCAGGAGCCACTCATTTGTAAATTAACCTTTTCTAATTTGTAGCCCGATCTTCTTTCACCTCAGCCAAATGTCTTTCAAAAAGAACTTACATAGTATTCCCTTAATCAAAGAAATATTTACATTATGCAAGTTTTGATAAAATTTTTAATTCAAACATGATTCACACACACACACACACACACACACACACACAGAGAAACTTTTTGGGAAAACTATTCTTGTTTCAAAATAAAAATTTTTGATTTTGTTTTGCCATTTATTTTGCAGAAAGATTCCAAAGCCTTCATAAACTTTGTTAATAATGAAAAGCTTTGGCATAACAAACAGTAAACAATGCTTTAGTTATACAATAGCCCAAAAATAAGTAAATATCAAAATACAGAAGAACGTGATAAAAAGGGGTTGAATTACCAAAAGCCTGTAAGGACCTTATTATAAGATGCCATCACAAATGAATGGATCCAGAGGCCTGCAATATAACCAGAGTCCGGTATATTTTGTTTTGTGACTTTTGTTCTGTATGATGTAGCATTTTCTAATAAATTACAAAATGTTAACAAAAATAGAAGTGAAAAAATCTGCTACAAACCTGCCAAAACCACATGATTTGTTTGCTTGTCCTAGTATAATGTCGGTAGATGGCATGTCTCTGCCAGTCATTTAAATCAATCTCTTGCATTCCACACAAAAGCACCTTTGGTGACAGAAAATACATGGTTTATTCAAGGATTTTAGAGATTTATTATAAGCATACTTAATCAGGTCCCATCAATAATGAAAGTATGAAAGAAAATCACTAGCTCAACATGACAGTCTAGTACTGTTTAATAATTGCTAGCTTTCAAAGCACCAAATCTACTCAGAAGGATTTCAATTTTAAAATCATATACCAGGAACTATTATCTACCTGTGATATAAGATAAGTTTCCAGGATATGGTATCTACAGAGGAAAAAGCCACTCAATGAAGACCTTACACTAAGGCCCTAGTCCAGTTATACTAACTCATTTGAATGAATGTTTATTAAGTATCTAAAATGAACAGCATACTAAGGGGATGGTTAACAATGTCAAATGTCACAGAAAGGCCAAGGAATACAAGGACTGAGAAAAAAGTCACTGAATTGGGTTAAGATCAATAGGAGACTGTATGGCCCTGGGCAAGTATCTTAAACCCAACTGCCTCACTAACAAAAAGATCAACAGGAGAAAGAAGTGATTTTGTCACTAGAGCACATTACAGTCCACATGTATATATATGTATGTATGTGTGTGCGTGGTTTTTTTTTGGGGGGGGAAGGCAATCGGGGTTAATTGACTTGCCCAAGGTCACACAGCTAGTACGTGTCAAGTGTTTGGTCTGAGGCCATATTTGAACTCAGGTCCTCCTGACTTCAGAGCCAGTGCTCTATCCACTGCGCCACCTAGCTGCCCCGACCACATGTATATTAAAAGAGGAAACAGATGAGGAATAGTAGTGTTGGAAGACTTTGAATTATCCAGATATCTATAAAAGCTCTCCCTGCCTAAAGGAGAACAGCTGATAACTGCTTGACTTGCCTTTATGATAACTTCATCTTCAAATGTCAGATAAACCAACAAGGGGAAACTCTAGGTGATTCTCACTGACAGGAAGGACTTGGTTGTTGGAATAGAAATAATGAAAGTGACTATGCGTTCTTGGATTTTGTAATAGACGAAGAAAGAATATCTGGGCATCATGGGATGCATCCTAGGGGAAAGTATATTGCAGAGTTCAGAGGAAGGATACATAGGATTCCCATGACTAAAATTCTGCAGGAATAATCAGCCTAGAGGGAATGGAAGATGCTCAAGAATGAAATTCTGAAGACATAAAGGGAAATAATTCCATGGAAGAAGAAAGAACAAAAGTTATTTGAAGCTGATGAGGGAAGGAAAGGACTACAAAAAAGATGGAGTCTTTCTAACTACGTCATGAGGAAAAGGAGGGTCAGAACCTTTTCCTGCAGTGGATAAGAATATCAGAGGAAAAGGCTGAGCTACTCAAGTCTTATTTTGCTTCTGTCTTCTTTGCCAAAGAGACCTGTGAACTAGAAATGGCAAAACAAAAAACGTGTGGTCCAAGATAAATGAGAAGATGGTAAGAAAGGACCCAACTGTACAGGATAAATTCAAGTCCCCTGGCCCAGATGAATGACACCCTCAGGTGATGAAAGAACTGGTAGATAGAATGGCTGAACCCTCATCAGTGATCCCTGAGACATTATGGATAATGGGAGAGGTATCAAAACATCAGGGAAGTGCAAATGTCTCAATTTAAAGAAAGAAGAAGAAGAAGAGAATAACCTACACACTATTTAGCAGTGAACGCTCATTGCTGGAAAGACTCTAAAATGCACCAGTTAAGATATGGCAGGGCATCTAGAAAGGGAATGGGTTGATCACAAGGAGCTTCTTTAAGAACAGGGCATGTACAACTCACTTTATTTCTTTTTTGTCTTACTGGCAGTGTTACTAAACTAATAAATGAAGGGAAAGCTGTGGATATAGTTTACCTGTACTTTAACTTGATGGTAACTCAAAGAGGAGTTATTTATAGTATGATGTCACCGTGGCAGGAGATATCCAACAGACTACTCCAGGGATCGTGTTATTAACAATTTTATCTACTATTTGGATAAAAGGTAAAATCTAGTTTGCAGAAGACACAAAGCTGGTAACTCACTGCCTGAATCCAAAAAGATCTTAACAGGCTAGAGTGCTGGGCTAGGTATAATAAGCTAAAATTCGAAACTGAATAAAGTTCAATGTCATGTTTTTATTAATGTACAGAAATTCAGCTTCACAAATACAAAATGAAGGAGGCAGAAGACAGTAGTTTATTTAAAAAAGATCTTGGGGTCCTAGTGGACTGAAAGGTTATTGAATTAGCAGTGTGATCTGAAAGCCACAAGACCTAAAGCAATTTTAGGTAGCATGTCAGTCATAGTCATAAGGTGAAAGTCACTCTAATACTCTGTCCTTGTAAATCTTCATCTGGAAATTTTGTTCAGTTTGTAAAGTCAAAACATAAGCCATATTGACAAGGTGGAGAGTGTTTAAAGGAGGTAACCAGGTTGATGAGTCCACGCTAAAATGAACTGGGGATGTTTAGCCTGGAGTAAAGAATACTCAGGGCAGACATAATAGTCATCTTCAAGGATCTGAAGGGCTGTCACATGAAGATAGGTTAGACTTACTCTGTTTGGCCCCAAAGGCAGAATGAAGAGCAATGGGGGGTGGAAGACGGGGTGGGGAAAGGAAGAGAATCTACAAAAAGGCAGGTTTAGGAAACATTTCCTAACAATTAGACCTGTGCAAACTCAAATAGACTGCCTGGCGAGGTACTGTGTTTCCCCCTCCTTGGAAGTGTCCAAGTAGAGACCGGATGGCTGTTTGTCAGAGAGGTTATGGTTGGGTTTGCTTTCAGGTATGGACTGGACTAGACAGCTGCTGAGGTCCCTTCCAACTCTCAAATTCTGTGATGTGGCAAATAAGAGGCTCATGTGTGACTTCTAAAAGTGCAATATGAACGGAAAGCAATATATCATAAAGATATTAATTACAGCCTGTGTGAGGGGGTGGCAAGTCAGACAATTAGTCAGTAAAAGCTTGTATGTGCCAGGCACTTTGCTAATCCCAAACTTTATACAAAGTATCCCAAAAGGTTTAAGCTTTTAAAGTTTAAAAACTGTACTAAGACTTTTGGGACACTCTCTAGAAATTAGAAAGAATTTCCCTATACATAGCATTTATTTTACAATAGAGCTTCACATACATTATCTCAATTCACTTGGTCCTCACAACAACCCTGAGAAGTAGGCAGAACAAGAATTCATTTTCAGATGAGCAAACCAAGATTCAGTTTGCCCAACTGTACAGAAATAATTACAAATTTGGCTTTCTTAAGGACCAGGATCTATAATTCTTTATATATCATCAAAGGAAAGAGAGATGCTTCTCACCTCCAGTTCCTTAGCATCAAAGTACTGCAGGTACTGCTGAGGGAGGATTTCATTGAAGCCTTCAAAGAAAGCTTGTGTCTGCTCTTCAACACCTCGAGATAATCTCCACTCAGCAACCATTCTGGAGAAGAAGCAAAATATCATGAATGAAATGCTCAGTGACATTCAGGCATATACTTGTAATGGATATGACTATTTAGAAACAAAGCACAAAAGGGAAGAGAACAGAAGAGGCAAAGTATAGGTCAATGAGCTCGACTTCAATTACTGGGAAAATTCTAGAATGTTGAAGTGATAGCAGTGAAACCATTCCATTTAGCAGGGTTCACACCAGAGTTAGCATGATTTCATCACAATAGATCAAGCCAAAAGGCAATCAGAGGCATTTACTTCCAAAGTAAAGTACAGCATTAGTTTTTATAGGTAGATTGTACGATATCTTTTTTTCTTGGGGGGAAGGAGGGAAAGAATGACCAATTTTATTTTAAACTAAATTTTATTTTGCTCAATTAATAAAAATATACCTTCTCTTGCTCCTACCTTCCCCTGTCCTCCAATGAAAAAGAAAAGAAAAACATAACCCTTGCAACAAATGTGTAGCATCAAGCACAACAAATTACTGCATTAGCTATATCCAAAACCAGCACTCTGAGTCAATCACTTTTCTGTTAGACAGAAGTAACATACTTCATTCATCATGCATCCTCTGAAATTGTGTTTGGTTGCTGTTAAGAGTATACAAGGCCTTAAAAGTTGATTGTCTTTATAATTTTGTTGTTATTATATAGATAGTTCTTGTGGTTTTGATCTCTTTACTCTGCATCAGTGCATAAAAGTCTGTTTTTTCTCTATAAACTGTCTTCCATCATTTCTCACAGCACAACAATTTATTATAAGCTGTTGCCAGGCAAAAGCTAAGAGGTCATTACTTTAGCATTATACGAAACTTATTTGAAAGCATGTATGTGAATCATAATCATAAAATGGATAATTCTGATCGCATAAAATTAACGTGTTTCTCCCCCCACAAACAAAACCAATGCAATTAAATTTTGTAGGGAAATAGTTGGAGAAAAATCTTTGCAACAAGTTTGTCTTTGGGTTTCATTTCTAAAATTTCTAAAAGTGGTGACAAATTTATAAGAACAAAAGCCATTCCCTAATAGATAAATGGTCAAATGATATGAACAAGGCAATTTTCACATGAAGAAATTCAAGCTATCACCAACCATATAAATAAATGCACCAAATCACAAACAATAGAAAAATGAAAATTAAAACAATGTTGAGGTTCTACCTAATATTCATCGGTTTGACAAAGATAACAAAAAAAGAAAATGACAATGCTGATGGGGCTGTGGGAAAATAGGCACAATAATAAACTGCTGAAGCTATAAATTAACCAATCTAGAAAGCAATTTGGAACTACTGTTTAATAAGAAGTTATTAAACTTCTCTGACTGAGAAATACCACTATTTGGCATATGAGGCTCCCTACTTTCTCATGATAATAGGACAAATGAAAGAGGAAAAGGACCTATATATACAAAAATTAAAAATTTAAAGACACTCTTTTTGCAGCAGCATAGATCTAGAAATCAAGGGGATGCCCATTAATTGGTCAGTGGCTGAATAAATTCTAGTATATTGATGCAATGGAATACTATTGTGCTATAAAAATGATGAAAAAGATGGCTCCAGGAAAACCAGGAAAAACATTCTGATGAATAATGAAGAGAAGCAGAGAAAATAAATGCCTACTGATTGAAAAAAAATTAAATTTAATTAAAAAAATAATACCTATGTGTAGTTAACAAGAAAGCCCTTACTCAAAAATCAAACCAAAAACTCTTCAGTTTTAATAATTAAGACTTCAAAATATAAGTCTACCCTGAATTAAAATTTTAATATACTTCTAAAACTGTTAGATTTAGGTGGACTGAGTAGACATGTTAAAAATCTTTTCCAACACTCAGTGTGATAATCTGTGGTAACCTGGCCCCTCTTGTGAACATTTAAAAAATAACAGTAATCAGCCCTTTAAAATTAAGACCATGTGTTCATTTTTTAGTTAGCTTGCTGAAGTCCCAAGAAAGGAGCCAAGATGATGAGAGGAACAATATAAAGAGTACATTTCCTCTTACCTAATATATTCTTCTTTATTTTCTTCTGTTACTAGAATATTACTGCCATTGGGTTTCAGTTCATGACTCTTAATTTCACCGAGAATTTCCTTATCAACTGAGAAGTACATCTCTAAACCACATTCTTCGATATTGTTTTCTCTGTTAAAAAATTGGCATAACATAGAATCCATTATTTATTCCCTGAACAACTCAATTATGTTTTGCAGCAACTGCATTTCTAACTATGAAATGGTAATTAAATCAAATTAACAAAGTAAAAGAATAAAAGAATTAGGAAATTATGTTCTTTAGTCATTACACTTTTGTCCAAATCTACAAGTGCTTAGTCACATTTCTGTCAAGTTTATTATAAAGCATAATGAAAGAAAGAGAAATTTAGTTTAGGGTAGGCTCAATTCCAAAAATAAATTATACTTCAATGGTTTTGGTGGCAATTAGGAAATGAAAAATTAAGGCACCTGAACTGCAATTTCACAAAGTAAACTAATCAGAAACTTACTTAACCCAGATGAGAGAATTGTAAAATTCTGGATCAACAGATTCTAGGTCCTTGAGTCCAACCGGTTTATTCAAGATACGTTTATAAAATGGCAAAGAAAAGCCTGTATCTATGAATTTTCCATGGAATAATGCCTGAAGAATAAGAAAAAGATTTAATTCACAGAATTTTTATAAAATGAGTTTAGCATTCAAAATGTTAAAAGCAACTATAACAATGTAACCTGACAGATTAAACTTGTATTACTCTAGCACCAACAGTCAAAGTACAGGGAAGCCAACTCAGAGAAAAATTTAACAAGACCTGTGAATGAAAGTGAAGTAGACTGCCATAACAATAACTGGTCCATACCAATCCTATAAAGTAGGTAGTTATACCATATTTTTAGTTTACAAATGAATAAACTGAGCCTCAGAGAAGTTGAATAATTTGTCCTGGTCACACATAGGTAGTTAAGTGTCCCAGCTGGGCCTCAAAACCAGGCTTCTGACTCTATTCTGTTACTTTATCCACTACACCAGCCTCTAGTGCCCTGTGACTGGCAGTTTTCAAATAGAGGGTAGACAACCATTTTAGAGGATGGTAGAACTGCAGAGGGGGTCCACGGTCATACCTTAGGGTTTGAACACATAAACTCAGATGTTCTTTCCAATTCAAAGATTTTGTGAATAACTACAAAATTCTGGAAAATCAGCTCTTAAGCTCTACATTAGGAAGTGTGTAGTAATAATTTTACTATTTTCTGGGAAATTTTCAAATAAGAGAGTTAGAAAACATGCCCTGTAAACATGCTCTGCTCTCAACTTGAACCTACCATGGCAATAAACCTGCCAATAAAACGGAAGTATTTCAGATGATCTGGATTGATGTAAGAAGCTGGGTTTATTTGCAAGCAGTAATTATCCTTCCCTGCATATTCAAACAGGCAATACATTGGGTTCAGCACTTCATGTGACAAAAGAAAGAACCATTCTCTGAAATTAAAAGAAAATTTATGGTAAAAATCTTTAAAATCGCCCATTTACAAATCACAGCACAGTCCAAAAACAAACTGCTCAGTTGTTAGCATTCCCCTTCTCCCAAGAGACGTTGATTCTGCAAAATTCCAATGAAATTTCAATTATTTATGTACACATATATGTGTATGTAGACACAGCCAAGGTTTTACCAGCTTATTAATGCAAATATAAACTCAGAAGTTTCTAAAAAATAGTTAAAGCTCCCACATGGTTGAAGTGTGTCCTGCGTCATCTCGCCTTATGCCACTCAATATGGCTAGAGTACGAATTCCCCCTTCCCCTCCTCTCCCTGTCTTCATACACACCCTTACAGGCTCCACTCAGTCACCGCCTCCTCCATGGCCCTAATACTCCTCTTTGTGATCACCTGTTCCCCTGTCCTTTCACAACATTTTGTTTGTACATCTTTCCTTATGCAGTTATTTTATTGTGCTTTGTATTATCATTATCTCCTTGTCCATCTTTTCTACCAGATGGTTCCTTGAAGGCAGGGACCTACATCTTATTTATTGTTGCATCTCTCTGGCACCCAATAATTATGCTCGTACACATAAGACCCTTGATAAATGCTTGATGAATAACAAATGATTGTGGACAGGCACATGGTCTTACTAGCCTTAATTCAGCCATGGACTCCCAGTAAGACTTCTGGCAATTCACAAGTTCTTATTCCCAAGTTTCTCTAAAATAAGTGTGACCTTACTAAGTCAGAGAAGTATTGAAATGGTTAATATGGAATCCGAAGTTCAAAGAGCAGTAAAAGAAGGCCAGTATAGTAAGAATTCAGCATTTGTGAAGAGGAGTAGCGTAAAATAAGTCTAGAAATGCAGTCGAGGGCCCAAATTTACAGGGCTTTCAATGCCATGCCAAGGACTTTGCATTTTATCCAAGAAGCAAGAGGGAGTGACTACAGATTCTTAAGCAGGTAAGCAAGAGAGTCAAGCATGTAATTTAGGAGACTGGAAGCAGGAACACTTTTAGAAAGCACAACTACATCAGGGTGGTATCCATGAGAACAGAGAGAAGAGGATGAAGGTAAGAGATGATATAGAGGCAGAACTAACAATATTTGGCAAATGATTAGACATGAAAGGGGAAGAAAAGTGAAGAACCAAGGATAATTTTGAGGCTGAAAAATCTAGGTGAATGGGAGAATGCTGGTATCCTTCAGAGAAATAGCAATTTTATAGAGTTGGGTTTGGGAGAGAAGACAGTAACATTTTGGACATGTGAGTATAGCATGCCTAAAAGAAGGTAGTTGCTGCAATTATCCCATTTACAGTAGAAGAAACTGCAGCAAACAAAGGTTAAGTAACTTGCCCAGGGTCACACAGCTAGTAAGTGTCTGAGTGTCTTGAATTCAGCTCTTCCTCACTCCAGGTCCAGTGCTCTATGCACTGTGGTGCCACGTAGCAGCCTAGACAGGCAAGAAGTGAACAAGAACAGGGCAATGACACAAAAGCTGCAGAAGAGACTAAGGAGGATGAGAAATTTTTGAGAAAACGTCACACGAGTTAACAGTAGAGCAATAGTAACATCCAGAAAGCAGTTTTTGGTTGAGTTTAGAATGAAACAAACAGTTTTTTATCTAAAACTTCCTATACACCTCTGACCAGATGTTAATAATGTAAAGAGAACAGAAAACAGGGGCAGCCAGGTGGCGCAGTGGATAGAGCACCAGCCCTGGAGTCAGGAGGACCTGAGTTCAAATCTGGCCTCAGAACAAACACTTGATACTTACTAGCTGTGTGACCCTAGGCAAGTCACTTAACCCCAATTGCCTAAAAATAATAAACAAAAACAAAAAAAATAAGAGAACAGACAATACAAGAAATTGAGATTTCTTAATTCTTATTTCTCAATTTTCCCAAATCAAAGATGGGAGGAATATCCTAACATAAAAAATGTACTAATTCCATTGTAAAAAAGGAACTCAATTCTTAGTAACCAGATTATCACTACCTTGCCACACCTCCATAATCTAAACCTTCTTCTCCTGGAAAAATCACCCACAAACGTCTTCGAAGATCCTGGGGATTGAAACTCATTATCTATAAAAAAAGAACAATTTGTTATTAAAAGCCTCTTAAAGAATTATGTAAATATCACTTTTAGGAGGTATATCTTCCTCCTAAATTCTATTGACTTTAAGAACAGACAAGAGTAGTGTTTATATATATATATATATACACACACTTTCAGTGAGTACATGAATTCACTTTTTTGTGAATCTACTAGAGCTTAATGTGTCCAGCTGGTTTAGTTGACCAGAATACGATGCCAGTATAACCAAGATCATGGACTCAATTACCTAGAATAAGCAGTGAAAGATAATCAGTTCCATAGCCAGAGACTGCACCCCTGAAACTAGGTTATTTTACATGTGTGCCCACAGCCCCAGTGTATGGAGAATTACTCTATCAGAATTGCAAAAATAACCCCGACCATACATATCTTACCTAGGATTAATAATTCTTCAAACATGAAATATAATACATCGTTATTATGTCACAATGGGCACAGTATCAACTTCAATGTCTTAGTTTTTCTATCTATAAAAAGTGGGTTACTACTACCTGCTTCAAACTTGGTTTGTAAAGTACTGAAAATTCTTAAATGTAAATCAAATCTCATTTTCTCTTAGAAAAAGGTTTATCAGGAATTGAAACTGTAGTTTAATATATCTGCAGCTTAAGAAGCACTAAAAACATAATCTTAAAAATCAGAGTAGATTAAAAAAAAAAAACACCTATCTATTCCCAGACCACCTGATAGGCCAGAAGAAAAAATAACATTAAATTCCAAATATAGATCCGTATCAAAGTCAAATAAGAAAACTAAATGTTAAAAGCTACAAGTTTAGGATAAAAATAACTATGAGTATTAAAAACAGTTTTAGGGAAGGGCCAATTGGAGAAAGCAATAAAAAATATGAGATGTGTTAAGCATTAAAAAGAGAGTTAAGTCACAGTATTCCCCATTAACATATCTAATATCTTTAAAAATTCACAAATATGCTCTCCTCATAGTTTCTTTCAACAGGCAGATATAATACAGTAACAAAATAAAACTTAATTTGTCTAGGTCATCATTTATCCTGCTATCAAAGAGTATTGATGTTAATTTTCAAGCCAAATGTGTCACCTTTGCATTCTTAATGAATGATACTCTGATAATGATTACTAGTTCCTCCCTAAGAATATCTAAAAATATATACAGCAATACTTTATTATTCTCCTTCTATCCTCTGTTGTTTCTACTGATTTTCAAAGTTTCCAAGAAACATACCTACAAATAAGCTAGTCAACAGAGGCTGATTATCCAGATGACAATAAGTATAAATTTAAGCAGAAAATAGAGGCAGGGAAAAATGAAATGTTGTTGTGCCTGACAATGAGTTCACTGAATTTAAGGAAAATCTCTTGTTCCTTGGAAGGCCCAAGGTTCATCATAAACTTGGGAGATTCAGGATAAGCAGCTGCCTTCACTGAGGTCACTTCAGTGACAAGTCCACAGGTCATAATTCTAACTGCAGAGCTGAAACTAGAGGGAAAGAGAAGCTGTTCCTAAGCATGAATCCTGTCTTCAAGCATTTGAGGACACACAATACCTGCTGAAATGAATCTTCAAACAAAGTTTTTCTTGTCACTGTAATCTTGATGTGCTGTGGCATAGCCAATTGCTGAAATATAAGTGATTCATTAAAGCCAATTATCAAATAATGAAGGTGAAATTTACATTTAACATTGTACGAATAAAAAAGTGGTTGTTGTATGAATCTGAATTTATCTTTTTTATATCTAGGTATGTATTTAAGAATATCAATGAGAATTAAAGCACATACGCAAGAAACATAAGCAAGTAAAACTCAAAAAGTTACAGGTGCTTTTGCAATAATACATTCCCTAATTTTATGTTCTAAATGCTACTTCAGATATTTTATTCCTACTAGTTACTTTTTCTTCAATTAATTCTCCTTAAAGTCATAAGAGCCTAAGCTATAATGGTTATCATAGTAAAATGTTAACTATTAAATTCATTGTGCTAAAAAAAAAAAAGGTAATGAATTGAAATAAACACCAAATTTGATACAAAAAATAAATCATCCAACACTAATTCATTTAAATCAATCATTTTGGTTAAGGAATTTAGTTCAGATAAAAGGTAACTGATCTACTTAACTACATTAAAAAAAATGGACCTACAAAATCATTATAGGTAAGTATGTTATCATCCTCATGACCAATCACATCCTGATCACTTTCCTAAAACTATTAATAATCAACTATGTTTTGGATCAAAGGCCTGAAAAAAATGTCTTTTATCATCATTAATGGTTTTAGACTCTTCTGTAAAAATGTAATATCATGCAATCTCCCAAGCCTAATCAGGCCAAATTCTCTACCCACTGATCAGGGAAAGGGTCTCTCTAGTTACATGAAGAAATACTTTGCAGATCTGTATAGGGTAGGAAGATATCATTCCCTTCCCCAGGCAGAAGTGGAACTCTACTTCCATAATATCCTCCCTTGAAAAAAAAAATCAGCCCACAAGGATCTCTTCTCTTCTTTAACTCCTTTTGCAGTTAACTGTTCTGCATAATTAGTACATTGTGCGGAAAGCACATTTGTCACTATTTTTTAATAAAAATAATTACTACTCTATACATAACATTGCTGAAATGTTCTAAGTGAGCACTTATATATAATAAAAACACGTTACTTATCAACGCTTATTGTAATCTAATTTATACAGTACTCAATTTAGTGCATTATATAAATATAACATTGTTGTTGAATATAATACTGTCTCATCCTCTATTAATTGCATACTTTGTCTCTCCATCGAGACTACAAGTTCCATGATGGGTGGTAGCTACATCTTCAATGTCTTTTGCACCCAATAACATTAAGTACAAATATATTATTAGAGCTCCATGAATACCCACTGATGGGCTGATACTGTAGGAAAGTTAACTGTAATTAGAAGAGAATAGTATGTTCACTTCTGGTACTAGATTTCTTTAGGATCCTGACAATCACTGACATGTTGATCAATACTTGTGCTCTAAACAAATAATGACAAATATGAAAAGGGCTGGTAAAAAAAAATACTTCATAGGCCTTAAAATGATAGTGATGATGATGGTGAATGTTTCTGAAGATTTGAAGGAATCAATTTTCAAAAGGCTGACCTGGTAATGTGAAAAGATGCTTATGTACCACTCACTTTTATACTATCTCAGATACCATTTTGCTTTTCAAAAAAAGGATGAAAAAGGGTATTAAACTGAGATGGAGTCTCCTCTGTTAATCAAGAGGAAGGGAAAAGATTTTATTGTCTAAAAAACCCTTTATTTTCCCATCTTCTTATGTGATAGCTATTACATAACTGCCTAATTATAAGTAGCTTAAAAACAGTTATAAAGAAACATTTTATGATACTGACCTGACACCAGAAACGGAAATAGTGAACTTTTGCCTTGAAATCCCTAACATAGGCTATTTGGGGTCCATTGTCTCTGACAACAGAAAAGAAAAAGAATTGAGAACATATCACTCCTGTCATTAGTATTCCTGTTTATTCTCACACAACTGAAACAAAACTTATTTAGTAACTGCAAAAATAACTGAAGCACACAGCTTAGTAGCTAGCTATTATATGAGCTAGTGTTCAAACTGGACACATTAGACTAAGAAAACCACAAATATTATCCCATGTGAAATGCAATTCCCCCTCTAATCCATCCTTCTCAATGAGAGTTTTTGTGACTCAATTCCAAAAGCTTAGTTCTATCTTAAAACATGAATATTTTTTGGCATGCAATAGGTAGAAAGTAACGAATAAGCTAAAAATAAAAAAAAAAAACTGGAAAAGAGTAGAAATCAGAGAATTTGGATTCATCTGTTGAGCAGTATAATAAGTGATTTCTATAGAGTAACATGCAGTGCTTTGTTTGGCAGATGGAGGCCAGTAGGTAAAGACTTCAGGATACAGTATCCCATAAAAGCAGATAAAAATACCAAACACTTAGTAGAAAGAGAAATACTAGAATGTAATTTCCTAGGAAATAAAACTCCCACCCCCATGTATCAAGAATTGTGAAACAAAAAACAAATGAGCAAAACTTTTTTATACTGCAACATGCAATTCAAAGAACTTAATGTTAATTTGTGATTTTTAGAATGCTTACAGAGCAGATTTTCCAGTTCGGGGATCTATATAGGTTGTTGTTCTCCTATTGTGATCCACAAAATATGGAACCCCATCCACTGTAAATCTCATTTCCCAGCCTTCCGGCAAAGGCTTCTCATTTAACTGACTGAAAAATATGAAAATGCAAAACCAGTTAGACAACACTAATACTGTATGGTTGCCAAGTGAAGAAACTACAAACAAGGACAAATGTGAGGAAAACCTTCTAGAATGCGGCCTCTAAGTTGCAGCATTTCTGTGACTGGCTTCATTTACGTTCTATGGAAAACTCCTCTGGTAATTCCAACAAACAAGTTTATCCAATGAATTTGAGCATTTGAACTTTTACAAGTATAGTATGTAATGAATAGGGAATTACTTAACACTTTCTAGTGGTGTTTATTGTTTTGCCTTTAGATACCAGAAAAAGCATTTTACTAATGCTGTCACTGTCACAGGAGTGATTTTTCATGGGCTGATAGAGTTTTTTCTGCTGTACTGAACAGATTTTATTCCTAATTAGAATCTTATAATCTCAAAGTTGTAAGAAAACTTAAGGTCATCTAATCCAATCTGACCTCAAACAGGAAAATCCTCTTACACATCACTAATAAGAAGTCATCCAACTTCTCCCTTGAACACTTTCGGTGACAAGGAACTCATGACCACAGAAGGCAGCATAGTCCATTTTTAGACAGCTCTGAGCATGTGGAAGTTCTTCCATTTATGGAGGTGAAATTTGCTTTCTGCAACCTTTTCACAATTTACGTTCTCCAGGGTCAAGCAAAATAAAACTATTATAATAATTCCTATTTTGTATGACACATTTCCTTTCCCCCACCCCCTGAAAATCTTCTCTTCATTAAGTTAAACATTCCCAAGTTCCTTTCATATATCATTCAGCCTTCGACATCTGTTTCATCAAACCTTCTCTTTAAATTAGGAAGACTGGGTTAAAGAGTAAGGAGATTTTATATATATATATATACACACACACACACACATGTATATATATATGTATGTATGTATGTATGTATGTATGTATGTATATGTATTTATGTATATATATTTATGTATGTATGTATGTATCTCAATACAAACTGATTACTCTTACTGGAAACACAACTCCAAGTGTTAAATCAATCAACAAGCATTTATTAAGCACCTGCTATGTTCAAAACACTATGTTAAATGCTGGGTATATACAAAGAAAAGTAAAGTCCCTACTCTCAAGGAGTTCATAGTTTAACAGGGGGAAGGGGAAAAGGGGGAGGAAGGAGGGAGCAGAATCAACATGCAAACAACTATGTACAAACAGGATACATATAGGACAAGTTGGAGATAATCGAGAGAGAAAACACACTAGCATTAAAGGGGGGTGGGCTGGAAAAGGTTTATTGTATAAGGTAGGATTTTACCTGAAAAAATTAAGGAATTGAACCTAGATCAGGGGGTTCTTAAGTGTCTGAAAACTTCTTTTCTTAGTTTTTTGTTTTCAATGTAATTGATTTCTTTAGTGATCTAAGGACTTTATTTAATACATTTAAAAACTATATCCTGGGAAGGGATCCATAGTTTCACCAGACTGCCAAAGGTTCCATGACACAAACAAGTTAAGAACCCCTGCTCTAGACTATAAAATTCTCTGAGCAAAGGGGATATTTAAAATGTCTCTTTGTATTTCAAGCAGGTTATCTGGTGAGAAGTATCATCTATCCTTCCTTTTATGTCACCTTCCTCTGACATCCTCTACTATCTCCTCTTTTACTCCAGTCTCTAATGATGAGTCAAAGCCAATCCTTCCCTTTCCATGTTACCTTGATCCCAACCCTTTCTATCTTCTCCAACAAACTGCTCCCACTATCATCCCCACTCTCTCTTTAATTTTTAACCTCTGCCTATCTACTGAAACTTCCCTACTGCCCACAAATCTGTTCAAGTCTCTGCTATCTTTAAAAAAACCTCACTGGAACCTACCTTTCCCACTAGCTGTCATCCTTTGTCTCTCCTTCCTTTCTCACCTAAAATCCTTGAAAGAGTCTGATATACTTGCTGCGTCCACATCTTTTCACTTTTCTGAATACTGTGAAATCTGACTTTCAACCTCCATTTATCATAGGATTCTTTTTGTTTGACTATAATTATTTGCTTCTTTTTTATAGGAGGGGTTTTTTTAGGGGGAGGCAGATCTCTTGGTTTTTAATTGGGGAGGCAGGTTTGAGGGAGAAGAGAGAGGGAGTTATTGATACTTATCCTGTAGAAAAGAGACCACTGAACCTTAAAAAACGGAAAGAAAGACTAGATCTCCTTTTTGTGCCAAGTCTGGAAGCACAGGAGCTACTTATGCACCTGATCCCACTCTGGTTGGCAAGAGAGCTTTGATGCACTCCATTTCGAACTTAGGCCAGTTCACCCTCCTAGATGACCCTGGGGTATTTAAAAAGCAGAATTGGCCACGTGGAGAAAGATGTACAAAAATTCACTGAAGAAAAGAACTCCATAAAAATTGAATTGACCAGCCCTGGAATCAGGAGGACCAGAGTTCAAATCTGGCCTCAGACATATAACACTCACTAGCTGTGTGACTCTGGGCAAGTCAATTAACCCCAATTGCCTCACAAAAACAAAACAAAACAAACAAAAAACAATCACAAAACAAACAAACAAAAAATGAATTGGCCAAATGGAAAAAAAAAAGAGGTACAAAAGCTCACTGAAGAAAATAATTCCTTAAAAGTTAGAAGTGGGAAAGTGGAAGCTAATGACTCCACAAAAAGAAACAATAAAACAAAATCAAGAGTGGAAAAAAATGTGAACTATTCTTGTTGGAAAAAACACCTGACAGGGAACATGGATCAAGGAGAGATAATTTAAAAATTATTGGACTACCTGAAAGTCATGATCAAGGAGAAAACACTGAGAAAATATTGCTAGTAGCCAGACATAAAAATTCAAATATCATTGAGCCATAGTCAGGATAACATATGATTCAGCAGTTTCTACATTAAAGGATCAGAGAACTTAAAATATGATATTCTGAAGGGTAAAGGAACTAGGATTACAACCAAGAGTCACTTACACAACAAAACCGAGTACAGTCCTTCAGAGGGAAAAATGGACATTTAATGAAATAGAGGACTTTTAAGGTTAAACTGTTTAAATTCCTACATGGGAATATGATATTTATAAGTCCTAAGAACTTTCTCATTAAGGCAGTTATAAGGAGTATACATAGAGGCCATGGATATTAGGTACCTACCATTTCTTACCTATCAGGTTTATTAATGTGACAGAAAAGGAAAATGACAAATGTTGGCGGGGATATGGGAAAATTGAGACACTAATGTACTGCTGGCAGAACTGTGAACTGATCTAACCATTCTGGTAAATAATTTGGAACTATGCTGAAAGGCCTATAAAACCTTTTGATCCAGTAATACCACTACTAGGTCTGTATCCCAAAGAGATAAAAAACAAAAAGGGAAAGGACCTATATGTACAAAAATACTTATAGTAGCTTTTTTTATAGTGGCACATAACTGGAAATTGAAGGAATGTTCATCACCTGGGGAATGGCTGAACAAGTTGTGGTATATGATTGTGATGGAATACTATTGTACTGTAAGAAATGATGAGCAGGATGCTCTTAGAAAAACCTGCTAAGACCTACATGAACTAATGCAAAGTGAAATGAGCAGAACCAGAAGAACATTGTACACAGTAACTGTAATATTGTATCATGATCAATTGTGAATGATTTAGCTATTCTCAGCAATACAATGATTTCTGATAATTCCAAAGGACTTATGATGAAAAATATCCATTTCCAGAGAAAGAACTGATAGAGTCTGCATGTAGATCGAAGCATACTTTTTAAAAATCTTGTCTTGTGTTTCCCCCTCTTTTTGGTCTGTTTTCTTTCACAACATGATTAATATGGAAATATGTTTTGCATGACTGCATATGCATGATTTATACAAAATTGCTTGCATTCTCAATTACAGGGGAAAAAAGGGAAGGAGGAAGAGAATTTGGAACTCAAAATTTTAAAAAACGGGAGTCAAAAATAGTTTTTAAACGTAATTGGAGAAAAAATAAAATATTAAATATATTTTTAAAGCAGAAATGTTTCCTTTTTCAAGGTTCTTATAAATATTAATTCCAAAGTATCTTGTGTTGGAAATATGTCAGTTGGAACATTTCTCTCTAAAGCAAAACAGTGATTGGATTTGGAATAATGATAAAGTTAACAAAAACTATTTCTGGCAGGCTTATGTTTACAATAAAGTATAGTATTAGCACACTTTTTTCCCTCTGACATGTTCCCTACCCTACTTTTCCTTTAAAATTCTGTTCAGGCTTTCACCATTTCCCCAGTTACTCATATCTGAATCTCAGATTTTTTGACTTTTTTCTCTCTTAAACTCCAACCTACAATCACATTCTATCAGTTGCCAAGTCATGTTGATTCTACTTTCACATTACCTCTCACATATGTCCCATTCTCAATCCTCAGAGCCACCACCCTAAAGATTCAGGCCTTTATCACCTCTCACTTGTGTTATTAATAGCTATTTAACTGCTCTTTCTACCTCCAAACTTCTAAGCCTTTTCTAAGCCATCACTGACATCACTTCCAAAATAACCTTCATAAGGCAAAGTTCTGACCATGTCATCACTCCCTTGCTCAAAAAATTTAGAGGTTATCTATTTTATTTAAGAAAAAATACAAACTCTGTAGCTTGGCACTCAAGGTTCTCAATAATCTACATCCAATCTATCTTACCAGCTTTATTTCACGATCCCCCTTAACACAAGTCTATGTCATGGACAAACTGAATGATGTGTTCCCTGAACTTAATTGTTCCATCTACCAAGTACATATATTACATAGGCAATCAGTCTCCCCAGACCAATATATACTACTTTCTGCCTTTCTGTCCTTCAAAGCTCAACTCAAGTGTTACTTACTCTATATAGCCTTTTTATGAAATGTTCTCTCCCTCCTCAAATATTCTCAGAGAACTCTGGATCTTTCCTTTGGACCGAACACTACACCCTCACCTACATTATGTTTATCCATGTACATATTGTATTTCCTCTCCTCAGTAGGATTTAAGCTCAAGGAGCGCAAGGACTGTTTTGTTTTTGTCTTGTACCCTCAGTGCCTCAGATAGTGTTCTGCACATACTAGGGACTTAACATCTGTTCAAAACTGAATTGCATTATGCAATAAAGTTATAATCTCTCTGCATCTAGGAAACAGAATTCAGATTTGAAGCACACCGCAACACTGAATAACCAAATCAATTAAAAAGAAACTATGAAGTTTACAAGTGCATATTTAAATGAATTTCACTGACTACAGTTTAAGTTTCTCTTTTTCACCCACCTGTTCACAGAAAAATATTTCCAACGAAACGCTACCAGTACAAATGACTCAATTTAAAATGTTTCAGTGAATTTTGTCTGTAAGTCAACATTTCTTACACAAAAATTTGGCCACAGAACATACTGGGCTTGAAATATTTTGCTGTACTTCATATTGTAGTCTATTTCTTAAAAAGATTGGGTGCTGGGCCTCCCTACCTTGCCTAGGCCAGAATCAGGGACCAATCCCGCTCTGGGTGGCCAGGGAGCTCTGAGCTCCTCTTTTCCCAATCTGGGCCAGCTTATCTCTTTTTAGACAATGTAGTACATGGTCCTGTCCCCATCTCCACCCCTCTGCACCATTGCCCTCCTACTGTTGGAGGCTCACCATACATGATGGAGGATTGAATGCAGACATATGTTCTGCTTAACCCACTGCATCAGTCTTCATGGCAACTGAAATACCAGGCATGTGCCGTCAGACCTGATCACATATTGTTAATGTAGAAACTTTGTTATGAACTCTTGTTCAAGTTGAAAAATTTAGAAAACAATACTCTAAGCTAGCTATGATTTATATCTAGGCAGCTAAGTGGCACCACGGATAGAGTGTTGAATCTGTAGTCAAGAAGACCTGAATTCAAATTTGACCACAGACACTGATTAGCTGTGTGAATCTGGGCAAGTCACTTAACTTGTCTGTCTCAGTTTCCTCAACAACAAAATGGGGATGATAATAATAGCACCTAACCCCGCCTGAGTTGGGCTGTTTTTTGTTTTGTTTTGTTTTTGGTGAGGCATTTGGAGTTAAGTGACTTGCCCAGAGAAACACAGCTAGTGAATGTTATGTGTCTGAGGTCCGATTTAAATTCAGGTCCTCCTGACTCCAGGGCTGGTGCTCTATCCCACTGCACCACCTAACTGCCCCCCACCCCCCCAAGTTGTTCTGAGGATCAAGTAAGATAATTTTTATAAAGCACTTAGTACAGTGCCTAGCAAATAGCAGGCACTTCCTCATCCCCCTTATGCACACCTTAGTAGAGTTTCAAAATTCTTATAGAGAAATAATTTAAAACTTTATCCAACTGAGGCAAATAAATAAAAATGAACCAGTGATTGAAAGTTCTTACCCCTGACTTCTGGGATCTTCCCACTGTGTAATACGTGTGTTGTGATTGACAAAATACACCCTGCCATTGTTGTCTGTTCTCTTCTCTAAAATAAAACAAAATAAAAAGTATTTTAGAAGAGTCTTATATTTCCCCCTAAAATAATAAAAAGAAATGGCTATAATGATTTATTCAGTCCACTGTATTAATTTCTCAATTTTTTGCATCATAGAAGTAATTTAATATACTTTGTTTAAAATGCTTATAAATATATGCTACTTCCAAAACCAAGACAAGGTTAACATTAAAATATATTTTTCTGAATGTTAATATTAGAAGGTAAGATGACTTATCTAGAAGTAAGTATCTTCAGAATCTCATAGCACATTGCCATAATGTAATGCAGTATAGACAGACAAATCAAAGAGATCACACATTTAATTGTTTGGCAACTGCTGTAAAATGATTACACAGGGAAAGTCAAGCTACATATATATATGATATGAATATATCTATTTATCTGCATCTATTTAATTTACTATGTTCAAAACAAATTATCAATAGTACTGAAATGTAAACCAGAAAGAGATAAAGCAAAGGAAGAAACTATGGACCAACATCACTAAAACAGTCATCAAATATCTTTAACTCAAGTAGTGAACATTAAAGGTGGCATTTGAACCCACATTCTGTGACTCCAGAGATGATGCTCTTTATACTAGTAGTACCACATTACCTTTCAAGATTAATTCAACATTAGGAAAACTATAAATATTATAAATGATATAGCTATTTAGAGTACTAAGTAGCAGAGATGGGATTGGAACCCAGACCTTCTGATTCCAAACTTATACTTGCAGGATGATGCTTTAAACAAAAAACCTTTAACAAAATTAAGCATACTAATTTGTGTTAAAAGTATAGGAATAGAAGAATCTTTCCTCATTTAATCAAAGTATCTAGCTAAAACCCAGAGTTGGCTTTATTTGTAAGAGACAAACATTAGAAGCCTTTTGTAACAACATGAAAAATACAGCTAGAATGTTATAAATCATATTATTAATCAAATAGAAATGACAGTAGCAACAGATATAGATCCTAGGGGCATGGATAGAAAGCTTGCATCATTATCATAATTACTGCTAGAAATACTAGTAATAATATAAGAAGAAGAAATTAAGGAAGAAGCAAAATTACTTTCTATTTGAAGATGATATAATCATTTAAGGAATTCCAAAGAATCTTCTATGTGGTCTTTTCAAGTTTTCAGCAAGTCTGTTACTTGGGTAAGGTTTATCACTTTCTCTTCTAAGTCATTTATTTTCCTCCCTATTCTTTCTTCTGAGCTTTTACATTATTTGTTATCTCATTTCTTTTTTAAACTCTTTGTTAAGGTAGGGGTCTGCTTCCAGTGTGGAGAATGTACTGTCCCAAGCTTCAGGGGCTTCTGTGTAGCTGTTTTCAGAGATACTTCTAGGGACCTATAAGTTTTCAGTTCTTCCAAAGTGGTATGATCAAGGGTGAGGTGTTTACTTCTTTCCTGGCCTGTGCTCTGGTCTGTGAGTGGCCACCAGCACTCTTTTCTGCCTTGGAACTGTGAGGAGGATTCCCTCTCCACCGCCACTACAAATTCCACCATGCCAGCACTCCTCCTTGCCCCAAGATCACACCCAGAACTGTGACCCAGATCTAAGCACAGGCAAAGCAAGAGAATCCTGCCTCAGCACCAGCAAAGAGATCCCTGTAATCCCCCTCCGATCAGTCCCTCAATTCCCTCTCAGTCTGTGGGCCAGAAACTCTGGAAGCAGCCTCTACCCTGGGGCTGCAGCTTGGACTGGGGTTGGGACCAAGCTCCTCTCTCACCGTGGTCAAAGACCTTTCCTACTGACCTTCTAAGTTGTCTTTGGCGTTTGTGGGTTGAGAACTCTGGAAATTGCCACAGCTGCCCATGATTCAGTCCTCTGAGGCCTGGTCTTTGCCTGCATGGCCCATGCTGAACTGCATTCCTCTCCCAGCCCAGCGCAATAGACCGTTTCAATCAAACATCCAGCTTGTCTTGGGCTGGAAATTTGTTTCACTCTGTCTTTTTGTGGGTTCTGCTGCTCTAGAATTTGTTTAGAGCCATTTTTTATAGGTATTTGGAGAGGTTTGGGGGAGACCTCAAGCAAGTCACTGCTTTTACTCCACCATCTTGGCTCTGCCCCCTCAAATCAGAATTTTTGAAATGTACTCAAGAGAGCACCTTTAATTTCTCAAGAGAGCACCTCTAGAATGGGGTAAATTATCTCACATAAAACAGACAAGAAAAGGCTTTTACAATGGAGGGGAAGTGGGGGGAAGGTGAGAAGGAATGAGTGAATCTTATTCTCATCGGATTTGGCTTAAGGAGGGAATAACATACACATTCAACTGGGTATGGAAATGTATCTCACCCTACAGGAAAATAGGGGAGAAAGGGATAAGAGAGTGGGGGAATGAGAGAAGGGAGGGCAGACTGGGGGAGGAGGTAATCAGAAGCAAACATTTCTGAGGAGGGACAGGGTCAAAAGAGAGAAAAGAATAAATGGGTGGCGGGATAGGATGAAGGGAAATATGGTTAGTTTTTCACAACATGACAACTATGGAAGTGTTTTGCATAACCGCACATGTATAACCTGTATCAAGTTGCTAGCCCTCTCAATGAGGGTGGGTGGGGAGGGAGGAAGAGAGAGAATTTGTAACCCAAAGTTTTAAAAACAAATGTTAAAAACCGTTTTTACATGCAAACTGGAAAATAAGATATACAGGCAATGGGGTATAGAAATCTATCCTGCCCTATAGGAAAATAGAAGAGGAAGTGGATAAGAGAAAGGGGGGAGACAGAAGGGAGGGCAGATTAGGGGAAAGGGTATTCAGAATACATGCTGTCTTGGGGTAGGGGGAGGGACGAGATGGAGAGAAAATTTGGAACTCAAAATCTTGTAGAAGTGAATGTTGAAAACTAAAAATAAATAAATTAATATATATATAAAAAAAGGAAACTAGGGCTGAAACTTGCAGAGCTCAGACAAGGGGAGCAGCAGGCAGACTGTGCCCTGGATCAGACCCCTCTGGGACCACTGAAAGCTTGTGGGTTCCCAGTCTATCCGTAAGATCTTGAAAAAATATAAAACTCAAAACCCTAAGAAAGCAGCAATAGGATCAGCCTAAATCTTTTCAGGAGTGAGGAACTTACAGTCTTAAGGCCACAGGTTCCCCACTCCTGCTAGAAGTATGGCAAAACCCAACCCTATCATCAAGACCAAAATCAAGAAGTAGGCTGGAAAATAGGCAAACAAACAAAAAAGAACCCTTACATAATGAGCTATTATGGTAGCAGGGATGTTTATGATACAAACACAGAAGAGAATGACTACAAAATACTTACAAGCATCAGAGAAAAACATTTTGGGTAATTCAAGAAGAATTCTTGGAAGAGATAAAGCAAGAGTTTAAAAAAAGAGCAAAAAGAGTTTTTATAAATGGAATGACACCATTTGAGGAAGAAACTGGAAAAGAAATGAGAGCTGTAGAAGAATTGGAAATGGAAAATAGCTTGGCACATGAGTTATAAAATCCTGCCCAAGCAACACTTTTCTCTGAAAGAATGAAATAAAAGCCAATGACTCCATGAGTCAACAAGAAATATTAAAAAAAAAAAAGAAATATTAAAACAAAGTCAAAAGGATGAAAAATGGGGGGGGGGAGGAATGTAAGGCAACATAGGAAAAACAATTGACCTGGAAAACAGGATCAAGAAGAAAAAAATTTAACAATCATTGAACTATTTGAACATCATGACCACAAAAAGAACCTAGACATCCTGTTTTAAGAAATCTTAAAAAGAAAAACATAGAACTTAGATATCTTAGAACTAGAAGGAAAAGTGGAAATAAAAGAATCCACCAGTCACTTCCTGAAAGAAAATACCAAAATGAAAACCCCAAAATACCAGCCAAAATCCAGAGCTTCCAGCTCAAAGAAAAAAATACTACAAGCAGTCAGAAAAAAAGAATTCAAATACAGAGGAACTACACTCAAGATCACATTATATATGATACAGTAGCCACAACTATAAAGGAGCAGAGAACTTGGAATATGATATTCCAGAAAGCAAAATATATGGGCTTATTAGACAAGAATAACTTACTCAGCAAATATAAATGTAATTCTAAAAGTGGGGCTGGGGGAAGGGGAGGGGAGAACTTTAATGAAATAGAGAACTTCTGAATATTCTTGATGGAAAAAAAAACACAGCTTGGTAGAAATCTGAAGTTCAAAAACAGCAATTAAGATAAACATATAAAACAGTAATCATTAACAATGATAACTGATCAAACAAGAATAAAGAGTTTACATTCTAATACAGGGAGATGTTACCTATGTCTCTTCTGAGCCCTATTATCACCAGGGTTCATAGAAGGGGTCTAATTAGACAAGATTTTGGAGTGGTTCTGCTATGTCTTGATGATCTTGAGAAAATGGAAAGACAGAGGAAGAGGAATAAATTTGGGGGCAAAGGAGGGGGAGGAGAATGAAAGGAAGGTTAAGGAAAATTACCTAATATAATAAGGATGCATGAGTAAATGGGATAGGAGAAGCAGCCAACCCTTCAACCTCACTCTCATTTAAACTGGTTAAAGGAAAGAAGAAAACACACACTTATACACAGAGCTAGGTACAGAATACAACTAATTCAACAGGAAAATAGGAAAGAAAGGGGAGATGGAAAAGGGGCTTTAGTGAGAGAGTAAATTAAGGAAGAGATTAAGCCTAAACAAAACAAACTCTAAGGTTGTACAAAAATATTAATAGCTCTTTAGAGGTGATAAAAAAATGGGAATCTTGGGGGCAGCTAGGTGGCACAGTGTATAGAGCACCAGCCCTGAAGTCAGGAGGACCTGAGTTCAAATCTGGCCTCAGACCAAACACTAGACACTTACTAGTTGTGTGACCCTGGGCAAGTCACTTAACCCCAAATGCCTTAAAAAAAAAAAAAAAAAAAGAATGGGAATCTGAAGAATGGATGAACAAATTATGTCACATAAATATGATGGAATACTATTGTGTGGTAGGAAACGTTGAAGG